GTCGGGCGACTTCTGTGGGATCAGTCAACCTGTTGTCACGGAAGTCCACTCGCTCCAAAGACAGCAACCGCTCGACGCCTGCCAAAGACGTCAAGCGATTGGAGCGAAGGTTGAGCGTTGTGATGGCTGGCAGTGGGTTGCGACCTAGTGAGTGCAGACCATCGATCATGCAGTTGGAAAGGTTTAGCGCGCGTAAACAGGTCAGGCTGGCAAGGCTGTCCGGAATCTCAGCAAACAGATTGGCAGAGAGATCAAGAGACTGTAGTGTGTTCGCCAAAGGAGCAAGACTGGCAACTGATATGTTGGTGAGAGCATTGTCAGCCAAACTCAAATGTCGCAGGAAGCGCCATTTCGTTGCAGGGAACCAGCCCAGAGAGAGTAGGTTAGAAGAACTACCCCTCGGAGTAGTGGAGCGTACACTAGAACTAGAGCTACCAGATGACCGGCGGATGTTTGGGGCATTTGTAGTGCTTCGGCCATAGACATGAGTTGAACCATGGCGGGAGCTTGGGGGACGCGTTGGAGAAGTACTACGCTGTCGCTGACTAGCCTTGGAAGAATTGTCTCGCGCTACCGCAGCGCCTCTCGGACTTGTGCTCTGCTTGCTTGCAGTGGTAGGAGAGAGTGGCGGAGACTCTGATCGCGCCAACTGACTAACTTTAGCGGATGGGCTTGCGGTAGACCATGGTGCGGAAGATGCATTGGTCTTTGCTGAGCGTCTGCGGCGCTTGTCCATGTCGTCCAAGACAACATTGATTAGAAGGTCAGCGGGATCGTCAACACCAGCTCGCTTGACAGTAAGGCTGCGAAGATTTTCGGCCAGGCGATCCCAGCCATAGAACTGTCGAAAGTCTACATCGTGAATCTCAAGCGCAGTAACATTCTTGAAAGCGAACAGAGGGACCGCGGTGTCGAAGGGAAACTCTTCGTAACCAGCAATAAGGCGAGCTTTGTGGTCAGGAGATAGCCTCAGGCATGGAATCTTGGTAAAGGCAGAATACAGATATCGCAAGTCTTCCTGGAGCTGGGCTTTCTGTTTCTCTGCCTTGGCTTCACTGTTTGATCCAATACGGAGGGTAGACCAAAGCGAGGACATGCCTGACATCACGCTGCGGACGCTGGACACGGAATGTATTGAGTCGCGATCGGACGGCTTGGTCTTGTTGCGCTGGGCGCTGCCGAGGAACGAGACATAGTTGGTAGGCGAAGCATCCGTGTGGATATTCTCCAGCCGCACATTCATAGGGCCAACAGGTATACCAAGCTCCTCGAAGCGAGAGAGAATGTAGAAGAGATGGTGGGGTGTCAATGTAAGCTTAGCTGGCTTGATGGACTGTGAGGTAAAGGTCAGGGACGGCAAAGACAGGGCCGCTGCCCAGACGCTCGACGATGAGGACGAGGGCGGGCTGGCAGGGCCATTGGGCGACGAAGGAGAAGTGATGGCCTGGCCATTCTTGGGATTCTGCCGCTGCAGTTGTAGGGCGTTGGCCAGGGCCTTTTCGTGTGTTCGTACAAAGTAGGCCAAATTCTAGAAGCGTGTCAACGCGCGTCTCCTGCAGAGCCAGTCACTGAGAATCGCACCCTTATGAAGATGTGACCATCCTCGGTATCCATGATGAAAGAGCCGCAGACAACGACTGCATATAGGGCGCCGCGGCTGTCGTAGCAAAAGACGATGTTGTCCGAGAGGGAAGGCGCGGTACGAGGGCCGTGAGCTACGAGTAGGCAAGGTACCTCCGCTGGGGGACGCGGCGACCTAGGGACTGAGCCAGTCAGTAAAGAAGACACAGGAGAGTGACGGGACAGATAGTCACAGTCGACGGTGCTGGCGAAGAAAGTCTTGGCGGTGGGGGATTGGACTCGACATACAGGAAGATTTGGGCTGGCGGACGGGCAGAAGAATATGCAGCGGCGCAAGGAGAGCAGTCGACGGGCGGCCGGCCGTAGCACAGAGCTTGAGGCCAAGCGGCGTGTTCTAGATGTGAGCCAAAGAGAGGTGCAGCAGCGACTGCAGCGACTGCAGCGGAGGCCCGGGATGCAGATACTGGCCAGGAAAAAAAGACGACCCGAGGCGCACGCTGGTTCGAGGTGCAGCTGGGGGAAAAATAAAAACCAGCGCTGATTCGCGCAGGGGCCGTTGTGGACAAACACAACAGTGAATGGGCTTGGGTGGGGAGGGCGGACGAGCACCTGAGAAATTAGATGGCTTCCCGAACACGGCTTGCCGCCTTGGAACGCCCGGTGATCTGGAGGGGCCTGGTAGACAAGGCTTTGGCAATGCCGTCGGTGGTGAGTCTCTGCAGGAAGAAGCAGAAGATAGGGGCAACGGTGAATGATGTCGCGGGGAGGGACCTTGTTTGAGAGAGGTGCGATGGCACGCAGCCCAAAGGTATTGAGAGGGCATCAAAAGCTGGCTCCCAGGTTGTAAATCCAACTTGGGGCAAGACCCCTGCAGCGCCTGATTGGCTCACACGGAGATAGCGCTAGTAAACGCGCCTTCCCTGCACCCTCACCCTCACCCTCATCCTGCTCTGAATCTCACACTCGAAGAAATAGATAGGCAGGGTGCACATCGCTGGTTGACCACCTCATCGGAGGAGGCAATCGTCCAGACCTGTCCGGCCTTGCTTAGACTCAACCGTCGAGGAGGCTGGCTCCATTACTCTAATCCTCCTCCACCTTGCCGTCCACGCTTACCCCTCATCAACCACCCGCTGATAACGACTACAGACCCTGACTCTGAAGGAATGTCGTGATAGACGGCTGCCGTGTTTTGCAAAGTCGTGCCTTTGCCGAGCACCGCCTGCAGGAGCTAGCTGGCATGAGATCCGACGCTTGTTGCTTGGGCCAATTGCAATGTCCTAAGGCTGCATCACAATAACTTTTGCTCACCTTGCCCGTCATATCATCTGCCTGACACAGCAGCGGGCGATGCGCATGCCTGTCACACGTCGCGTCAGAGCCGTCACATGAGGGGCCAAGCATGTACAGACGACCGTGCCACACCACGCCGACTTGCTGGACCCTGATCCCAACCTAACGTGTTTACCGTACTTGATGCTTCTTAGGTACTCAACGCAAGACCTTCCGCCTTACTGTTGATTTGTTGGAAACTGCCAGAAGCAGACATGCCACAATGCTCACCTGACACTCGCCAAACGCTGCGGTTATCCCGGGTGTTCGACCACGAACTGCGGGTAGTACAAGACTTCGGTATCGAACACCATGGTAGCGCCAGACCCTCCACTCTTTCTCCGCTTAGCGGAACCATACAAGACACTCTCTTGCATGGCGGTCGTGCACAGACCAACCAAGTGAGCAAGGATCCTCGTGGGCCCGTTTAATGGCATCAGCATTTTGCTGCGAGATGACATGCGACCGGCGGTATTACGACTCAGCGAGCACAGAACTATTGGGTGGGTTCGGGCTCCAAGCACCAGAGAAGAGCACATCTCACACTCAGACACAATTCGCGTTCGTCATCCCGCGGCTCAAGCCACGTTTCTGGAGGCTGAGATCCTTGGGTCGACTGCAACCCCACTTGCCAGTTATATGACAGGCGCAATATCCCTGCACTTGGCCCCTCAACACCATACCCCACCCTGGCCTACAACACCATACCAGCAACATCTCACGATGCGCATGCCATGTCTTGGGTCATTCAAAGTCACCAGATTTGCACCATGTACTCCGCGGATTCTTCGGCCTATCGGCTGTCTTCTCTGTCTGCACACACACAGCCGCTGCAACCCACACAAATTGCAGCAAACGCCCCTACCCATTTACCAACATCCCAGAAGCCTTATCACAGTCGTTACACCATGCCGTATGCTTCGGCTTTGTTCGCTGTTCACCGCCATAATTAACCGAGCAAGCGAGCCACGCAGCTGGTCCTATCTCGAATCGTATCTGAGGCGACATCGCTTGATCCCGCGCAGCCTCAACGCTTACAATGACAGGGGTGCGCGACTACCGAAACATTGTGCACAGCGATGTTTCCGGCCTGTTATGTCTACACTGGCAGCAGCGCACAACTTGCATCCGGGGTTCAACCAGTTGCTGTGCTTTCGCAGTTACTTCTCGACAGTGAGAAGATCGTCGCCGAAATGGCGCCATTAGCGGTGAGGCCTCAAAAGCCATTCGACTATTTCGTCACATCTTGGTTCGCAATACCAAGCCGGCACGTCTCCGTGCCCCGGGTGCCGCTGCAACCGTACTTGTCGGATGACATTGTTACAATATTTTTCTGTCGTTCGTTACCACCACTGGCGACAAGTAGCTAAAAAATGACATCATCGCGCATGTGTCATCCGAAGAGGCTCCACTAACGCTACCCAATTGACCCCACTGGGCACCCATAGTGCTAGGACAAGCTTTTGTGGATTCCCGCGACTCCGATGAAGATATTATCAGATCCGGAGTGTGACCTTTCCAGGGCTGCATATTGTCACATGGGCTGGATGGCTTCCTCCTGGGCTGTTCCCTTCTTAGACCCTGAACCGAGTTCCATTAACCAAATACTCTCCACACATAGCCTAGGCCAAAATACACTTGGCAAAGGCCACTTCCAAGCATTAACAAGGCACGTATTTACATCCTACTCAAATCTTTCGCTAGAAGTGCTCTGTTGTGGCACTTGTAGCGAACACGTGCCAGAATGTCCTATACTATTACAGAATAATCGTCGTGTGAGTATGCGTAGGAGCTCGTGTGTATGCCCTGTCGACCTTGATACGTACAGAGTGGTATCTGCAATACTAACATGAGTTCAATCCAAAATCATGACTTTGGTCTACCATTTTCATGGGTTTTATACGCAAACTGTGGGAGACGCCAGCCCTGCCATCGTCGCATCTGCTTCGTACTGTCGAGTCTCGCAGCAACCTGGACCGTGCTGATAACATTACCCCACCACCCCACCTCAAACATCACTTTCGCAAACGCGTAGGCTCACCAACAGCCAAACAAACACCCAGGTCGAACAAGACAAGAAACACACAATGCTCATCACGGAGACACATAAAGATGTGCCGACCAAGGCAGGCGGTGACATGAGTACGTTGCTGTTGTAAATATCATTTGGTTACACTGAAGCTGATCTGTACGCTCGTCACCCAGGGATCTTCATCTTCCATCCCACTGTCCCCAATTACCCCAAAGCCAAGTTTCCGGGTGTCGTTGTGTTCTCCGAGATATATCAAGGTACGTTGCGTCATCTCAACAGGTTTTGAGATTTGTTTCCAATATGTGTCGTCTTCCTAACCAGTACTATTTTGTTCCTATTCACAATGCAAAGTTGATGTGGACGATCCAAGAGTAGACGTGGCCACCAAGCTATATATCTCAAAGTCTTTGCCTCTCCTTCTCTAGCTGTAGAAACCCCGTCACTTATATTCTTGTTCGCTGAAACCACCTATTCAGCTGCATAATGTCATCCACTCCATCTATCACACCTACTGACTGAGCTCCGACTAGTCACTGGACCCGTAGCCCGCTTCGCCCGTCAAATAGCGTCGCAAGGCTATATTGTTGCAGCTCCGTCATCCTATCACGAGTTCACAGGTCCAGAACCTCTTGCGTACGACGGTCCGGGTACGGATGCCGGAAATGAATGGAAGATCACCAAGACAGTTGAAGCATATGACGAAGATGCCACACTATCTATTGACACACTGCTTGAACTGCCAACGTGCAACGGACGGGTTGGCGCTACTGGTACGTTACTAGTCCCTCGTATCCTATTTCCATCTTACATCACGTTTACTGTCCCCACTTACCCGCCTTCTACTCCAGCTTGTCCATCAATTCAGCTTAACCATGACTAGGTATGTGCCTGGGCGGCCACCTAGCCTACCGCTGCGCTCTTGATCCGCGCATATCCAGCGCAATCTGCTACTTCGCGACGGACATTCACAGTTCCACATTAGGCAAAGGCAAGAAGGACGACTCGCTTGCCCGCACCAAGGACATCAAGGGGGAGCTTGTCATGATCTTTGGTAAAATGGATACCCATGTTCCACCCGAGGGCAGGGATCTGATTAGGAAGACGCTTCATGAGGCTGGAGTGACATTTTCATTCTACGAACCGGCTTGGGCACAACGTAAGTCTGGTTTCAGAATCGGTGTAGAGAATGCGCACTAACATGCTGTAGATGCCTTCATCCGTGACGAACTTAGCAAGGGTCGGTATGATGCTGCGTTGTCGGGGATTTGCTTTGAGATGCTCAAGGAACTTTTCAATCGGACGCTCCGAAGTGATCTGGGACCCAGGAGCGGGGGTGGCATGGAGGTGGAAGATGTTTGCTAAGCTGACGGACGTTCAACCTGTAAAAAGCTAGAGGTCCTTCTCCGTGGCAAAGCCTATACGTAGTACTTAGCTTAGACAAAACAGTTGTAAAGCATTTTCATCTAGATGAACATCAACTACTACTGCGTCTCCGTTTGAATCTCGACTCTAGGCGTCTAGCTGTAGGGAAAGGTAGGGCGATTGCGGATGGACAGTTCAACGAGGATTATACACTAACTTCGGGCGATACAAATCTGTCTCGCAAGCAGTTGGAAGGATTATCAAGACTGGCTAGATGGCATCATGGCGATCTATTAGTTTACTACTTAGTAGTGTTCAGTCTTCGTGTGATCTGACACAACGGGGACTTGTAGGGAAACGGGCCAATGAGGACGCCGGCGATATGCACGCACGCCAAGCCCTCTAAACTGCGCTAACACCGATGCTTCTCGAACCTCGGAGCTCAAAACATCTGAATTCGCCATCTTGACGCATTTACTCTCACGAACCGCTGTAACACGCAATTCAACTCATCCCAACATCACCACCACCACCACCGAATCCATCAAACATGCCTCGCCAGCGCTCTGGAACCGCTCCCCCTCGCCGCCCGCAGGTCCCGGCTGCAAAGCAAGCAACCACTGCACCCGCGCCCGCTTCCTCGCGCCCGCACTCGACCGCCGCAGCTCCCCCTCGCGCACCAGCCAGCGCTCATGCGCCTCCTCAACAGCAGGCTCAGGCCCCTACGCCCCAGGGACCCGGCCTATTCGGACAAATGGCTAGCACCGCTGCGTAAGTAGGACCCCAGGCAGCACTCCATTCTCCCATTACGAACCCATGTCGCGCCACCCCCATTGCCATGACGTAGTCATGCGAAGAAACATTGCAAAGAAGAACTTTGGGCCACAAACTACGCATATGCATTTGACTAACGCGCTTTGCACAGCGGTGTCGCAGTAGGATCTTCCATCGGCCACGCAGTCGGCGGCTGGTTTGGAGGCGGTTCCTCGGCCCCCGCCGAAGCCTCGCCTCAAAACACTGAATTCTCCGCCCAGCACCAGCCCGCTGACGCGGCGTCTGCTCAGATGGCGCAGTCGGGTCCTTGCGCAAACGATGTCCAGAGCTTCCGCAAGTGCATGGACGAGAACCAGGGTAGTCTGACTATCTGTGGCTGGTACTTGGACCAGCTCAAGGCCTGCCAGGCGGCGGCTGGTCAGTACTAAGTTGCAATGGAACACACGCGAGATTGGGAATTAGGGGAGAGACGCCCAATTGTATTGAATTCGAAAGGAGAGAGATGCTTGCAGAGAAAGATGCAGAGAGACTGTATTTGTGATGCATAGATAGCGAACACGGCATATATCCTGAGATGGGGCGGCGGTGTTTGGCATAGTTTGTTCATATTGGGAATCAAACCACCCCACTTCGGTTACACGCATATTGCCTCTGCAGAGAAAATGCTCTTTTTTCTTTCCATTCAACCAAAGTGTTTTGCCCGTACGGTCTTTTGTTTCATACCTGTGATATATACATACCCCCAAGTCTCAACTCAAGAAATCTCTCAAGTCAAAATGTACCATCCAATTACCTGCTTCCGCACTTTCAAGAAACCCACTTCCATCCTTGCGCGCACCCACTTTTGAAGTCCCCTTTACTTGCCATTCTATTCTCCTCAAACCCAACAACATGTTCAATCCCGGCTAGACGCAATCTCAGCATCGCCGTTACCTTGCATCTTGCCCTTCCCTTTCCCCATGTAGGACGGGCCTTTCCACTCACGCTGTATCTGCAGTAGCGACGCCCTCAAACTATCTTCAGATTCTTGTCTCCGCTCGTCGCTCGAGCTCGAGTGTATGTTACATTCCATCGTCTCATAGTACCCCGAGTCGATCCTCCGTTTCTTGGTCGCAGACGGACCTGGCATCCCTACATCTACTTCTACTCCCCCTTGTGCTGCGCCCAGACTCTCTTCAGACATGCGCGGGCTGCTTGGACTTTTTTGTCGCATGTAGGAGTCGGGGGTTCGAGTCGTAGTGTCGACGGTGGTAGTAATAGTAGTCGCAGAATCGCACTCGCGCCCCCTCTTCCCACGCTCCGCCCCCTCCTCCTCCTCCTCTTTTATCCGCCGTGCAGAAATTTCATCGTGGAACGGATCAGAGTACAAATCCTCGTTGTTAAACAAAACATTTGAACCGTCCTCCTCATCTCCCTTGTCCTCTTCCTTTAACCCCAACGAGTCTTTATCCGCCTTCCTCTGGAGAAATTCACTTGTATCCAGTAGTACTTGATCTTTCCTCGCACCTACCTCCAACATGGTATTCATCTGCGTTCCCATCACCATGTTCGTTGTCGATAAGCACTTTTCCAGAATCCTCCTTTCCCTCTCGACCTCATCATACTTCCTCTGTGCCTCCAGCACAGCCAGCGTCATTCCATGGGCCTGTAACTTGTAGTTGTGCTGTAGTTTGGCCGCGTCTGCAGGATTCTGCTTGGTGCGCAAGGAAGATAGGACTTGGTTTGCTTGTTGACGAATTGTGCTTTCTTCCTTTTTTAGTCTAGTCAGTCTGGCGAGGCAGTGGCGGGATTGTTGGAAGAGAGCGTGTTGTCTGGCTTGGTATTGCTGTTTTCCTGTCAGGCGTGGATGGAGCTGCTGATATGCTTGTTGTTGGGCTTGGGCCTGGGCTTGTGCCTGGGCTCGAAGGACCTGTTGGTGTTGGAAGGCGTAGTCTGAGAGTGTGGGATGGCCTTTTCTTGGGACGCTCGTCGATCCATTGGTCGTGTGTCGCTGTTGGGTAGGAAAAGGAGGAGGAGGAGGGGGGGGAGGAGAAGTATGGTCTTGTGACTGTTGTTGTTGCTGCTGACTTCCAAAGTTTGATGGCTTAATCTTGCTTTGCTGTTGCTGGGCTTTCATCATACGTATGTGCTGCATAGGGTTCTGCATTGCGCTGGGCATCTGCGCGCCCGGTTGTTGTCCTTGGCGCGCGGCCATGTTGCTCGCGGCAAGGTTGCCCAACGGCTGCTGCTGCTGCAGGCGCATCGCGTATTGTCTTTGCGCCTCTTGTTGGCGACTCTGTAGGTTTTGCGACAGTTGAACTGACTGCTGGTCCGATATATACGGTCTCGTTTCGCCAGAGTTTCCCGTCATAGGGATACCCTCTTGAGCCATCCTATCAGGGTCCAAGAGCATGGGAGACTGCGCGGTTTGACCAAATGGCGACTGAGGTCGTGTTGGACTCGCATCTTCCCATTCGTGCGAAGGATACATGTCGCTCTCGAGGAGCTTTCCCAAGCGTTTGTCCATTTCCCGCTTCTTCCGCTCTTCATCAGCTTTGTAAGCCTCCCAGTAGTGGATCAGCTCATTTCTTATACCACGGAATGCTACGACGTCTTCCTGTTCGCGCGCCACCCTCGCTCGATGCAAGAAAGTATGCCTTCCATTCCTAAACGTTACATCCGGTACGTAGGTGGCCAGTTCACTGTAAAAGTTGCGGAATTCGGTAAACATTTTCCGAATAGGCGGTTCCTCCGTGATGGCGTTGGAGCTCTCTGAGGAGATTTGGTGCTTCCATTCGGCGGCATAAGCATCAAAAGCTGGCATACCGGCTACTAGCATTGGTTTGTTGGTAGGCATCGAGGGCACTGAGCAGCAGTTCTCGTAGTGACCTGTTGGCGCAGAATAGATCTGAGAAGTGCCCGGTATCACGGAGTACACCGAGTTATTATTCGGTCGTCCATCGAATACGCCACCAATGCTCGGCTGCCGTACATTTCGTAATCGCTCAAACGGGCTAAACAACAATTTGGCGTTTGACAGAGTCTCATACTCGTCCCACTGGAAATCATCTAGCCCAAGTCGGACTTGGAGCTTGAAGAGCTTTTTCGATTTGGCCAAAATGCCGGAGACGACCACAGAGACGTAATCTGCTTCCTTTAGTGAGACGTCGAGAGTATGAATCAGCTGCCTACCTCTGATGTCGTAGATTTCGACCTCCTCATCCCAAGGAGGGTTGAGACCGTGATTGATGCGAGGATACGCATCACCCCAATTCTCCAGTAAGATATCCACAGTGTAATTCTTCACAGATGCCCAAGCAAAGCTTGTCAGAAACTTCTTTTTTGCTTTGTCGGCCTCTTCCGCCATCATATGCGAAGATCCATCTGCCCGTTTTGGTTCCAACAGTCGACGACCACACATGAACGCACCGTCTTTGCGGACATCAATCTTGAACGTGACAATGCTGAAGAGCAGGTCTTTTACTTCGTCGTGGATTTGACGGGATACAAGAAGGAGGTCTGTGAGTCGCATGGGAAATGCAGCTACGAGTGGTGGTGCAAGACCCGAAGACACGGATGGCGGTGATTGCTGCAGAAAGCGGTTATTCGTACGCAAGTTGAGCATGCGGGTCGAGAAAGGGTCCTCGTCAGTTTCTCGATGAACAGCAGCAGTTGAAGAGCCAATCGACTCAGTAGGCAGTAGATAGCGGTAGACTTCGTGTCGCAGCTCAAGTGGCAGCTGCTCGAGGAGGTAACAGGGCGTATCTGGATGACCTTGGTGATCATCACAAAGCTCAAAGTATGGCCTATAAACGGAGATACGTGGTCAGTACATCTTCCATGCACCGTTCACGTGTGAATGCAACGTACGGCCGCCATCTGAAAAGCCTCCCGCACCTCTCTCCATCCGAGCACATGAACTGGCACCATCCAGCAAGGCTTTGCTGATCACGGTGAGAGCTGCACGTAGGCAGAAATGTAGGATGAGCGTCCTTTTGCGACTTCTTCCCAATAACAACGCCGCATCGGTGATTTGTCTTCTTGGAAAGACCTGAGCATCGTTTCAGGAAGTTTTCCGGATCTCTGGTTTTGATAGGTGCCGGTAGCTTAACAGGAAGCGTGGTAGGTTCAGCGGCGAGTACCTCTGGTTCGGGGCTGTCTTCGATTTTGATGTAACCGAAGAAGGCTGTAGAGGCTGATGCCATGGCTGGCAACAACGGTCAACAGACTCGATCTTCACGCCAGAGTAGCGCTGAGGCCACGGAGCAAAGACGGCCAGAAGAAAAGGAAAAGATGAAATCGGAGTTTCAAGAATACGCCCAGGTACGTCAGGTCCTAGATAGCAAACATGCCGTGTAACCTACGCCGAGTCGTCGGAAGCTGTGCAACCTACGTCGAGTCGTCAGAATACACAGGTTTCTCCTTGAGAGAGAAAGAGATGTGTCGGGCGGGGTTCTGCGCTGTCGCATCAGGAGGCCGTCAATTACGCGAAAATGTCGTATGAGGCCCTGTTTGCACTCTTATGCACTTGAGTCTTGCACTCTCTGCGCAGGACTCCAGTCGTCCTCCGCCGCATCAGCACATCAAGTGCGTGCCCCGCTTTCTGCACACGGTTACACCACGCCTCCCATGGCATAAGGCCTGGACTAGGCGAATCATCTCGTTGGCGTACATGCAAACCGATGACCTGCACAATCATCACCGAGAGAGATATTTTTGTTTTGTTTTCGCGAGGAAGGACTTGCATGATGGCACAAAGATGATGGGCCATACTACAGTTTAGCACCATGCTCTTTGCCCAATTTGTCTAGTTTCCTGGGCGGGGAGACCGGGGCCGCTGTGTGGGCTCTTTGACGATCTGCGGAGACGGGCATCGCATCACGAAACTAGACCAAGACTCATCAACCTGCATCATCTTGGCTGAGCCGTGCAGCGCCTCGCCCATCTCGCTGCCATCCTAGTCACTGATCAACATGCAGCGTCCCGCGAACGCCCTCTATGCGTTCGTACCGGCTGATGCTCGGTACTACCCAGGAGACATGGCGTTCTTGACACGAGGCTGAGCAACACTTGCGGCACTTGTCAGACTCACCGGACATTTGCGGCTTTGCTTGGCCTTGCTTTTCACGCGGGATAGCTACCAGCTCGAGCGTTCGCAGCGAGTTAGACACCTTTCCACGTGTACTTATCCAGTAGACAATGCTACACTATGGCGGATGAGGTAGATACGCAAGCCATGTACTCTGCTCGCTCAACTCGATTGCTGACGCCTCACAGATGGACCCAACACGAAGCGATGAACCACCGAAACCTTCCTTTCGAGACGCCGTGTACGGGACCATCGCTTCACCCGGTTCTGCTCATGACTCCGGCATCGAAGTGAGCCCTACCACTACGTTACAGCGAGGCTATCCACCTTCCAGACGTTACTACATCTTCCCACCAAACATCAACGGCCATGGACGCATGGTGCTCGCGCACCGCACAGTGCCGCATCTAATCGGATTCGTGCTCGTAGTTGGTGTATTTGCTTGGGGCGTATGCTCTGCGATATATGCCTACCCGCTCTTGGGTGGACATTCGAGCGACGGGAGGGCGGGCCATAATTGAGTTTGAGTGATGGGCATGGTCATTTCGTATGGGCGTATGGTGTCTGAAGTGAGGACTGTGATCAACGGCGTATCCTGCTCTGCAGGCCGCAGAGCACTGTCCATCGACTACCTGCTTTACTCACGGGCATTTTCTATCTGTTCGTCTACATTTGTTGTGTTTGGTAGTATTTGAGAAGCTAGGTGGCCGAACTACACGAAGACCGTAGCCACAGGACTCAAACCGTGTATTCCCTTATAACTTCTCCTTCTCACGGGCATCTTCCTTACTAGCTTCCGCCTGACCCCTCTTCACCACCAAGTCTGCTTCCGCCCTACCCCCTTTCTTCTCCTCCACAAGTGGAACCCCTTCCTCCATTTCATGCTGCACCACCATCCTCTTCCCCTTGACCAACTGCATAATCATATAATTCATCGCACATCGGATTCCCAGCTCTTCGCCTCTCTTCACAACCCATCCGTTGATGTAATCAATCTCTGTTTGTGCACCTTGGCGTGTATCCGCTAGCATACTGCTCACGTTGTCTCTGGTGCGATGTGCCACAGCCACGACAACGGTTTCCAGACGCCCCGGGTCGAAGCGCTGAGTCACATTGGGGATGTACTGGAGTTCCGGAAGGGAGCGGATGACGAGACTGATTTCGGACAGTAGGAGGCGCATTGTGCGGGTTAGGGCGTAGTTGTTCAAGACGGCACCGTTTCGCGCATCGAGAAGGGCAGTGAGGGGGTTGATGATGCAATTTACGGCTAGCTTATCGAGTTGCATCTGGAGAAGGTCTGGGGGTGAGAAGGAGGCTGCGCTCAGCACTGGGGTGCGGAGGAGGGTTCGGAGCAGGTAGCGTTGGTTGGGCGTAAAGGGAAACTTGCCGCTGCTCGGGGGTGGATACTCTGGGTTGAGTTTGTCGGGCTCGTCGGGATAGACTGGTTTGCTGTCTTTTGGTGCGGTGAATCTCAACTCGGGCACATAGGGCTCGTTGGGGTTGCGGTCTCGTTCGTGGGGTAGAATACCCAAGGAAATCGTCCCAAAACCGGCATGGACGGTGGTAAAACGACCGTCTCGCGAAGTGTGCATGCCATGCGAGTTGATTCCGAGCATATAGTGTGGTCTGGTCTCTGGGTCTGGGAAGATTTCCCTATTGACTTCTTCGATCACCCCCATGCCATTTTGCAGGAAGCACACCACAGAGTCTTTGTGCAGCCTGTGCTTTACAGAAGAGATGGCCTGCAGAACAAAAGGGGCTTTTGAGCAGATGATCAGCGAGCTGATAGGTTCGGTTGATTCTCCAGGCAAGATTCGAGGCCCTCCTGGAGCATCTACAGAGGAAGCATTCAAGCCCACCTCTTGACCATGGTATCGGACACGCGGTATTGCTAGTTCGGCGTCGTAGCCGTCCCTTATCTCTGCATCACCTTCGGTGACCAGCGTCAGCCTTTGTTGCGAATTGTTCCATTCGTTGTACTTTTCCCAACCCCCAAAGATCAGCGTTACCGGAGGCGCATTCGGTATTCCACGTAGGGCATGCGCAATGAATTTGCCCACATTGCCAATGCCCATTATATGAATCCGGCGGTCGAGTACAGGTTGTCTGCGGTAGAAGTCGGCTGTGTTGTGAGAAGCTGGCGAGGGGACGGATTGATCTGGTCTATCCTTGCTGCATCTTGTAAGTCGTGGTGGTTCTAGAGTAACGCCATGAATACGTACCCATCTGCCAGTTCGTTTTGTGCGCCCACACTTTCTGACTTTTTCCGGCTCGTCATGAAGGCCCTCGTCTGATAGTAAGCCACCCGGCTCGCGCAATTGCTACCGGAGTCGCATCTTCTTCTTATGTGTGGTATCCGAGGCCGAAGCCTGGGGAGGAATTGTGAAACAGAGGAGAAAGACAGCTTGAATGATTTGCAATTCACATGTGTATATTGCGACCAACTCTACAAAGGGCGAAGGCAATTTCAGAGTCGGCGGAGGTGAGTGAATGACGCTATGAGCTATCCAACGTTTGGATGCCGGAGCTAGCGCGGGTTTACGCTCGGCCCGCAACTTTTCTTTGGCTTGTGTTTCCAGACCGCGACTCCAACAACTTCACCCGCACTTGTCGCGAATTGTCGCAACCTCCCAAGACACGAGCTCGGTATCCGCGACTACCATCATATCATCATGGATCCGCAAATAGACCTTCCCGACCTCGTCGAGGACCTGGAAGTCAACATCGACGAGCTCACCACAGCACTCGAGCCTCTACTAGCAACGCCGCTGCACACGACCGCCTCATCCCTCCCGCTTCTGGACAAGGCAGAGTTCTACTGCATGTCTGCATATGCCGTCGAGGCGATCCTCTTTTCCGTGCTCAAGGCCTCGGGTGTCAATGCGATGGAGCACGATGTCTTCAAAGAGATTGCGCGCTTAAAGCAGTACAACAGCAAGATCAAGGACATCAAGGACAGAGGCATAATGGGTAGTGCTGAAGGCAGGGCGCGACTGGATGTAGGCGCAGCCCAGAGATTCATCAAGCATGGACTGGCTGGCAACGACAAGTACGATCTCGAGAGGCAAGAGCGCATAGCAAAGGAAAAGGCCCGAGCGCACCTGAAGGCTCAGAAGATCAACAAGAAATTCGACGATGAGGGCAAGGAGATGGAGTCCAAGGATGCGACACCAAAGAAAAGGGCTGTCGATGAAGTCGACGACCAGCAAGAGTACTCAGATGATGAGGTAATGGAAGGTCTAGAGGAAACAGAGCCGGCGACCAAGAAAGCCCGCGTTACTTCAGCCGATGGCACGGAAATCGACTCGGAAGCCACATCGTCCAGCCAGACAACGTCAAAGAAGCAGAAGAAGGAGACAAAAGCCAAGAAGTCAAAGACGAAGAAGGAAGCCAGGAAGGCTGAGAAGAAGGCAACACAGAGCGCGGAGGAGAACACCGAAGCCGACGCCGATAACAAGGAGGATGACAGCGAATCGCAAGCAGAACCCTCGCCCGAAATCGACACACCACAACCCAAGAAGCGCGGCCGTCCCCCCAAGAAGGACAAGAAGGCACCAAAAGCCAAACAGGACTCGGACACAATCGATGTCGCGACACCGACCCAAGACACAGACGTTGAAGCAACGCCCTCAAGAGCCGAGGAGCGCGTCACAAGAAGGAGGAATACGAGGCTTTCGACGCAGAACTTGCAGGACGAGGAGTCTGTGGTTCCGACGCCGGATGATGCTCCGAAGACGCGTAGCGAGACTTTTACTGCACTGCTTGATGGGTCGTTGAGTGAGAAGCAGAGGAAGGGGAAGACTGGTGGTAGAGGGGGTAAACGGGGTGGGAAGGGGAGGGGGAAGTGAGAGGGTTTAGTAATTATAGAGTGTGAAGTTGCACGGAGGCAGGGTCTAATAGCTGGCAAGTTTTCTCTCGATAATGATACCCGACTTGTCTTCAGGATTGCCAGTTCACTCCAGTTTCAACCATGGTACAGATTTTGCAATCGTGAACCTCCATCCATATCACAGATCTATAATGACGCGTCGGATTGGATTCGATGTTGGATTCGGTGCTCGCGTTCCATACTTGCATATGGAGGCTGAACAAAGCTTCTGCGATAGGCCAGCCTTGCTCAACCACACCATGAACAGCAACCACTCTAGAGGCTGGATATCAGCCCGAGGCTGTGTACATGCAGTAGTGAGCTGTTATTTTTGTTGATCTCGCAAGATCGGTAGCCTTCTTCCATTGCTTCCTTCCCTCTTTGTCTTTCCCCCTTCTTTCCTCACATCTCAATAACTCTGACAGCATCATGGAGAGTACCCAGAGTCTTCATTACGGGGCTAGCCAATCTACCTTGTCAGTTCACTTCGAACCCAAACAGGAGTCAATATCGACGGCAACCCCTCTTCTTGACCTCAACGATGCAACTCTTATCCCACGAGGCTGGCCAACATCGCCGAGCCGTATCAAGCGTCCTCTGTCTACGATGCTACTGCATGGGGTGTTTGACATAGCTTTGTTCGCTTTCTCCGCATGCTTCCTTGTCTTTTCGCTCGTAGTCATGCAATACAACGAGGCTCCGACAAGCGAGAATCCAACGGCTACCAGCGTTCTAACAAGAGCCACGAAATATGTATGTATCCACACATAATGGTAAGGATGATTGGAAGTTGACGCTATAAATAGGGCCCTACCATCTTCCCAATCCTCTTCGCCTCTGTCGTTGGTCGAGCAACCCACGCAATCCTTCTCTGGCGCCTAGAGAAAGGCGAACGGATCCAGATCCTCGACACGTTAGCTGCGAGTACATCCCTCACGAGCACGGTCACATCACAGGTACACCTTCGTCAAATCAGTTTCTTGAGTGTATTGCTCGTTGCTATATGGATGCTATCGCCAATCGGGGGTCAAGCATCACTCCGGCAAATGTCGGTCGAGACGACAGTGAAACGCAGCATTGCATCATTTCAATATGTTGTACCAGGCAAAATATCGGAAGAAGCGGTTAAAATGATTCCAACTGTGAACAGTCTTTTTATCACCGCCCTTTTTGCTTCCTTGAGTACTGAAGCTTCTCCAGTCGATCTATGGGGCAACATCAAAATACCTAGAATCGAGCACTACGAGAAGATAGCAAAGCCCAACAGCGACGGTTGGTTTGAGACTAGACCACAATATGATGATCTGGCTAAATATTCCTCTTTCGTCGGCATCCCCGTTCGTGGTGCCCAAGATAATACTACTTCAACCGACTATGCATTTCACTTACAAACGGAGTATCTTCAGTTGACATGCGCCCCCGTCAACCATACGACGAACGGAACAAGTCCTTACGGGGAACTGCCTCCAGATACTCTGAATGTAACTGGCAAGGACGGTCTCATCTGGTGGTCAGACAAAAGAATTCTGGAAAGATGGACACAGGCACCCGAGACAGTGCAGCCATTCAACCTTTCTTATGTCGAAAGGAACTGGAATGCTAGCTCTAAAGATGCCTATTTATCCTCGCCAACCTTCGACTTTGACTCTTTCCACCGTGATGGGACTATTGGCAGTGTATCTTGCTCGGTGGAAACCAGTTATGTGGAGGTTCAAGTTTGGTGTGCTGTAAATTCAACTTGCCAAGCTACCAAAGTCCGCCGCTCGCAGCTGGACCAACTCCCACCTGCAATCACTATAATGGACGCGAAACCAGGAAAAAATATATATTCAAATATGTATTCATTCATGGACGGATTCATGGCCAGTATAGGCGGCGAAAAAAAGTGGACTGATCCTCTTGGAAGCATCCTCGACAACTACCTGAGGGCTCCTTCGCTCGTTACTGCACCCCAGTTCGCATCCAAGGACCAAGTAAGCCAAGATACAACAAAGTTCTCTAACGAGGCCTTGTCTGAAAGATTTGGCCATTTGCTAAATTCGTACTGGACTTGTTTGCATGGTATCTATACCGTAACTGGTGGCATTCGAAACGATACTTCTTATTTCTGGGATACAAACGTCACATTTGTGCCGCCTAAGGTCGACAACTACAGTCATCAAGCTGAGGTAACCTTAGGTCACTACAACTGGACAAACGACTATAGCGCAAAATCGAAAGTTTGGTCTTCACAAGGTAACAAACATGAGCGCATCGAGATCCTTGTAGCTCACAAACCCTGGACCATCATACTCGCCATCGCATCACTAATCCTCATAGCGTTCAGCCTCGCTCCACCTCTGGTTCGTCACTTTCTCATCAACGGCCCAGACATAGCGATAAACTTCTCCAGCCTGGCTACGAGAAACAATTTCCACATACCAATTCCCGCAGGTGGATCGTTCCTCCCTGCTTCGGGCCGGTTTAGACTGCTCAAAGATTTGAGACTCCGTTTTGCCGATGTTGAGGGCAACTCCAACATTGGGAGTCTGGTGATCGCTGCTCAGGGTGTGGAGAAAGTGGAGTATTCCAGGATTCGTAAGGGACGGTTGTATGAATGACGAAGTGACCTTGAAACGTTTGTCGGTCCTTCATTTTGTGTGGTATAAGGAGACGTAGTGCTGTGGCATGAGAACATCCTTTCCCCAAGGGTCCAGATACGTATATTTGCTTCTTGTTAGCTGAGTCCACAAGGCTGGCTGATTTCGACGGTAGTTGGTAGTTGGTAGACGATGAGTGTATTCAGGACCCCTGGAGAGCAAGCATCTCGGCATCGAATAGTGAAGCGACTGAGTACTTCTTGGGCTGGATACGTGTCGTTGCTAAAACACGGTGTAAACGGTGTAATCACCGGTAGATAAGGGAGGCTTTTGTCATCTTGCGCTGTTTTCTACTAAAGACAGCAGGGAAGTCGAAAATAACACGGCTGATGGTAATGACTATTAGGGGACTGCTGTAGCAGTAATACAGAAGCAGAGGCGGCGAGATGGAGTAGTTAGAGATACGAAACATGATACTAGAAGGGTAGTGAGTTAAGGCTACAATACAGCACCACTATACGCAGCGACGCCTTCGAGTCCTTTGCAAGGGACAACAAGGAATTTCTCAAACGGAAGCAGCGTGACATGTGGCGATACCATCCACGCTTCCGTATAATCCTCATATGCCAACGTCCGCTCCGTCTCATTGCTCCAACGCTGCGACGGATGAAGATCCCCGGAGTGCCACAACTCCGGTGACGTCGACACAGGTAGTTTTGCAATCGTAGGGAAATCGATACAGAAGCCATGTATCGCTATAGAGTACACGGCATAGAACATGTAGACCGTCAAGACAGTGCGACGAATGCTCTCAGCGATAATCCAGGCATGCCAGCCGTGGTCATTGTCACGCTCCGCTCGCAATCGCCTAAGTAGCTGTAACGCCCGAGTGGTCATTATGCCTCTTTGAAGGTCAACGAGAGCGCGCTGTTCGAGTCCTCCCTCATACATGCGTATCATCTGGTACAATGTGAGCGCCTGCAGCCGCGCCAACTCCTCGATCAGAGTCATGCCGCCATCATCTCCACTGTTCTTCGCTCTGGCTATATCTACTCCCGACAATGAAGGCGTCTGGAGTAAATCAAACACCTCGGCATCGATGGCTTGGAACATGACATGTTGATTACTTTCGTTGAGCAAGCAATACGTCGCCGACAGGCCCAAGGCTGTTCGGATCGCCGCCGGCATCATGCTACGATATAGCTCCTTGTGTAGAAATAGTGTTTCGCCGCGCATGGCCAAGTCGCGTGGACAGCGCTTCAGCTCGTTGATGACCCACTGCCAGCTTTCTGTGCTGCCCTCTACGCGCTGCAAGTCACCAAGACCGCCGAGGAAACTCGGTATGCTCGACGTTGGCGATGTTGACGGTATTCGCGACGGGAACATAGCGGGACTGCATTGCTGACTGGTAAAGCTGAATTGGCTTCTTGACGTTATAGCATCGTCCGGCTGTCGCATGTCTTCCAGTGGAAATGCAGATTGGTAAGGTTCAAAATCCAAAATGGTAGGATGGAGCATATCTGTAGCTGTAGAGACCCCATTCCCGGCTGTCATAAGAGTATCCACGAGGTCGTCGCCATCTGTATTTTCGCTCTCCGTCGAAACCAAATGATCCGGCAGGCCTGGTTGGGGAATCATCGCATAAGCATAATAGCAATCCTTCTTCGTCCTCCGACAGGATGCGCATGTGGGGTAATCTCGATTGCATTTCCGACGGCTCTTGAAGCAAGCATTGCAGGACTTGCGTCGTAAAGACATGTTGATCTATTTTCCCTGGAAACGATAATGGGAGGCCGATGTGCTAGGGACTTCAGCTTACAAGTTTGCAAAGAGTGTTGAGTCATTTTGCTTTGGTCATCCATCCATCGCAGCGCAGCGTCAGATTACCAGGCACGATAGCCGCTGATAACCACCGCGTCCGTGCACTTGATACGTACAGTTATCGGACTATTTATTATGTTTTTCGACGTCCTAGTAGCAAAATATATTTAGATCCAGAAAGACCCTTGCACTGTATCCTTTGCAGATTTTTGTATCTGGAGACACGACCGCGAAACAGGGAATCGCGCATCAAGTCAAGACATGGATGCTCTCCTTTACACCTTCCCTGCGCTTGCGTTTCTCTGATCGCCCTCAATATCGCCCCTCATCTCTGGAAATGTATCGAAGAACTGCTCGTCTACTGACCAATACTTCAAGTCTCCGTGATAGCGCTCAAACAGCGGACTAGGGTAGTGCATGCCAGTATCCTCGTCGAGGAAGAAAGCATCTTCAAAGGCAAACGGCCAGTCGAAACGCAGGAAGCGCGAGTAGCAGCTGGAAAGATCGGCACCTGCGCTTGTTTGGAAGATTGTGGTGTGGTGGTTGAGTAAGCGGGAGCGGATGGTGGGCCAGGCGAAGAAATCGAGGGCTATGGGGTGAGAGGTCGATGATTGTGAGAAACTGGAAACGTGGGTGTTAGGGGAACTTGGCTCGGTTGGGGGATGGATAAGTGGGAACACAGTGTAGATGGGTGGGTGGGTAGTTTACCTTGGGCGAAGCCAGTGCGGCACTTTATCCAATTCTTCTTTTGTCGCGTTGAGATAATACTGTACGATCGTTTTTACATTAGCTTCCCGTCTTATAGCTTCCGGAATTCTCTCCATGCCTCCCCAATGTTCGAAGTGAATTTCAACGTACCTTAAGCAACTTGAAACTCTTATACGCCACAGCCAACCTCTCTACGTTGGGCAGATGCTTGAATAGCAGCTCGTCAACCTGTTTCAAGATTGTGAGCGCTGGACTCTTCATCCATTCCAGTGAGGGTAAGTTGTCCCAACCCTGTTTTATGCCTAGGTAGAGCAGTCCTGCTTCTGCAGTATCAGACCGCACTAGACTATTGTTGGAGGAAGAAGAGCTGCTCGTGGCACCTGGGGAACGATGATGGTAGGTGAAGACTTTGCCGAAGAGCTCGTTGCTCTTTTTCCAGACGGGGCAGATGGAGGAAAAGTTCGAGGTTGGGTTGTCTGGATTGCCGATGTGGAGGATAGTCGGCGAGGGACAACGCCAGTTTGGGCCGAAGATCTGTAGAAAGAGCGGGTTAGTCGGCAGAGGAAACGATGAATAGACACAGAAGAACGTACTTCTTCCATCATGGGTGCCCAGGTCGCTGTTGCTGGTGCATTGCCCCAGGGTAAGTCTTCTGCCTCCCCTTCTTCTGAGCTTTCTCGAACTGGTTGGAGGTCGAGCTCCATTTCGACTTGTTGACTTTGATTTGCCAGCATTACCGGTGGATGCAGGTCTGTCATGACCGTCATGCCATCAAGATCGAGCGGTCGCTTGACCGCAGACGGAACAAAAGTAGTTGCTTGATCGATGGGTGTTGATGGACATGGTTTTGTCGCACTGCTAGACGAGATCGCGCATGGCTTAGGTGACTGATGGCCTACCATCTAGAGTGAGCCATCGCAGGATCAAGAGTCAATGATAAAAAGTCATGCGTACCGGCACTGGTCGCAGCAGGAGAGGTGCCTTCATCACCACCATCATCTGCCCGTGGACGTGGCACCACTGTCGCAGCAGTCTTACCGGACACGCCAAAGTCCAGTCCCACCACGCTTTTGACGCTATCGATTACATCTCTCAGCCGTTCGTTCTCCACTCGCAGGCTATCAATCTCAGACAGTAGACTGGCGGTCGCTCCATTACGATCTTGATCTCGGAGTATCTGTATTGTTCGCTCCAGCTCTGCAATATGCGTTTTGGTCTTTTCTCTCAGTGAGCGCTGGGCTTCGCGGTCAATAGCTCTCTTTCTCTCGCGTCGCTCCTGTTCTCCCAGGCAGGAGGCACGTCGTTTCCGCTTTGCAACGGGGGCAATGGGCGTCTGAAGTGAAGGAGCTGCGTCGCTAGCTCGTCGGTCCACCATGGCAGAACAAGTATGATGTCAAAGCAAGCCTGTTAGCTCCTTTTCGAATCGCGCAGCGCAAGTCAGTGATAGACGATTCAGATTCATTCCAATACAATGTCAATGTAACCGAGTCAATACTAATTATCCTAGCGACAAATGCTACGTTATAATCCGCCTCTGATAGCGCCTACCGAGGGATTTTCCCTCAGTCGGGTTCTCGACATCATGTTGAGTTAGCGGCATCCGGATGCCATAATGCGGGGGAAGGTGGGGTTATGGGGTAGGTAGAATGTATGCGACAACTACCCTTTTCCGCATCCTGTGCTAACTCTATCGGGGTTTGACAAGACAGCCTCCTGAAGCTTGGTGCACGACTATTGGCTGGAGAGATCAGCAAGACGCTGATTGACGTCGGGTGCTGGGGAAAGCATTGCCGAAGCTTGTCCTCATATACCACAACGGACGAAGTTTCGTCCTTGCGAGAGATAATTCGGCCACTGTTTTGCTGGTAAACGTCGGGTGCTACGGTGCCTTGCAAGACCGTTCTCACCCTTTGCGCAAGCGACGATTCCGTGAGATCGTTGTAAGCGTTGGATTCCCACGACAGTAACCCAAAGTAGCCCAGCTTCTAGGGGAAGATTGAAAGGGTACATTGAGATGTTGATAAAACCAGTTGCTAAACATTAGTTGTGTCCCATCTCTGTAGAGAGCAGCAGATTGGCGACAAGACGTCTCTCAAGCAGCTCGTGCACGATGTTACCAGCATTCCACTGGCAGTACCGTAGCTCCTCGGATACAATGACTCACACGCCCTACAATCGGCATGCACAACTTTACAAAGGCTTCCCGACTGTCACAAAGAACGCGACCACTACATGCAAAGCGCGGAGTCCGCCATGGCACGTACCGCACTTTTTGTGATCGACATACAAGTCGAATTGGCGCAAAATGCAACGACCGAGATACCACACGCGGAGCGAATTCGAGAAGCCGGAACTAGTATCCTGCAAAGAGCACGTCAAGCTATCGACTCGGCTGACAAACATGGACGAACGCCAGATTTGGAGATTGTGTTTGTGCAGCATGAGGAGGTTGCAGAGAAAGGACCTTTGGTGAAAGGGAGCAAACCCTGGGAGCTCGTGTTCAAGCCACAATACAATGACAGATGGGAAACATTGGTGTCAAAGAACGTCCGTGAGTAATACGGAACTCTTGAAGTTTGATGCTATTCCTATTGATTTTTTTGACAAACGCTCTTAGGGGATGCTTTTGAGTCCAACCCGCAACTTGCGGATCAGCTGAAGAAGGAGGGTGTAGAGACGATTGTGGCTTTTGGAATACAGAGCGAATGCTGCGTGCTTTCGACTTGCAGAGGTGCGTTGGCGGCTGGATTCAATGTCGTCTTGTTGAGGGGTGCGCACTCTACTTACGACATCGGTGACAAGCCCGCGGGGGCTATCGAAGGAGATGTAGAATCTCAGCTCGAGAAGGCTGGCGCTGAGATAATACCCTGGGATTTATGGAAGCCATCAGCTTCATGTATGTGAGGGTGGACGAATAGTGTAAAAAGAAGCTCGTATCTATCAGATTTTCTAGCCCCTGCGGAACTACTCAGTACCTGTATAGGAAAACATTGCCAAATCTTGTCGTTATACATGATGACGGACAAAGTTTCGTCTTTGCGAGGAACGACTTAGCCACTTGATACCGAACAAAAACGCCTGAAGAATTGTTCGAGAATGCAAGTGCAAAACGGTAAGCTACCTACTGCTAAAAAGCGTAGATCCAGCGAGCCCAACATCTCTCAATCTCACATCTACAACTTAGAAGGCCGCCAATTCGGTTTCCGCTTCTCAGCAAAAGCTTTTAGCCCTTCGAGCGCATTCTCACCCGCATTCAAACCGTGATTATACTGTTCAATCGTCAACTGCGTAGCCCGCTCCACACTTCCCGTTTCCCAAGCTTCCTTTAGCGCAGCCCGTGTGACGATTGCCGAATCGGGTGAAATGGCCGCAATCTCATTCGCCAGCTTCAATGCCTCTTCCACGACGGTATCCTGGGATGGCGATATCCGGTTCACGAGGTTGAGTTCCTTGGCTCGCTGTGCGGTGATGGGTCGGCCGGTCAATGCCATTTCAGATGCGATGGGTAGTCCAACGTTGCGGACGAGACGTGGTGGGCCTCCCGCGCCGGCGAAGATGCCGCGAAGCGCTTCTGGGAGACCGAATGTTGCGTGTGGTGCTGCTACTACCATGTCACTGTAGAAAGGGAATTAGTGAAACTCTTATTTCTATCTCTAGAGAGAGAGAGAGAGGGAGAGAGAGAAAAGAAAGAAAGGAAGAAAGAAAGAGAGGCAAGGGAAGCAGAGAAACATACCAGCCCAAAACAATCTCAAACCCTCCACCCAGCGCAAACCCATTAACAGCAGCAATAACCGGCTTCTTCCCCATCCTCCTACTCAGCCCCCCAAACCCACTCAACGGATGCCTCATCAAGCCAGGACTCGTTTGCAGCTCCCCACTCCGTATCCTGCCGAGTTGAATGAGGTCCTGGCCGGCGCAGAAACTCTTCTTGCCGGCTCCTGTAACAATGGCAACGCGTAGATTGGGCTCGTGATCGAACCAGTCAAACACGAGGCCCATTTCTAGGTGGCCCTCGAAGGGAATCGAATTCATCTGTCGTTCGCGGTTGATGGTGACGAGGAGGACGTAGTCGGCTGGGTAGGAGAGGAGGACGTGCGTGGTGGGAGGGGGTGCTGTTTGGGGTTTGATGGACGACATGGTGGATAGATGGGAGAGCGGCGCGTCGAGACAGAGGTTTCGTCGAGGAGGGTCGCTGCCGTCGTGCTTGTTGTCGCTGTTTCGATTGGGGAGTTGAATGGTACAGGGAGCCCTGGAGCGACCGGGAGTGGTGTGAAATGCTACATGGTCGCTGCTGGGAGGATGGTGGATGGACTTGCGCGCGTTGGAGCCGAGGTATCTTCGGTATCTTCCCCGCGTAACGCTAATGCGGGCACATTGGACGGCCCGTGTTGTATCCTTCAATCACTATTGTCACCTATCTCAACCTACAATCTTAGGACTTGTACTTCAGTTTCGTGAACTGCATAGATAAAAGTGCTGGTTGTAACAATGTGGAGCCTTCATGTCTACTTCTATGATGTTATACCATTCCACTCATGTTTCTTCCCCTATAGCATTAGATAGCTATCTCGCTGTAAAGTAATACCCATCTTCTCTCTGCTCCAATTAATGCTACCCTCCTCTCGCGTCCAAACCTACTCGGCCGTCATGTATCAGCCAAAGCTATAAAAGATCTCTACCCTCTCTCCCTCGCCCCGTCTACCCAACCCACTCCAAAACTCAACCTAGGCAACATAGGAAGCCTTTCCTCAATATCATATTTAGTTCGACCCTCCAGCTCCCATCCGCCCCACGCACTCATCATCCACCCTTTGCTTGTATCAAGACTGGATCAAGATCCCCAACTAGCTTTTTTTTTCCTCAGCACACTAATTCCACCTTATTACAACAACAAAGAAAATCTTCACGTACATCAATGTTCCCAAGCAATCCATCAAAACACCATGCAGGCAAATCACAGGCAGCCCAGTCATACCGATCACGAGAGAGAGATGGAAAGCAAGAGGTGAAAATGTTGAATTGTTTTATTATTCCGTCATATCCTAGAAAAACCCCCCCACACATCACAAGGGGTATCTCTCATGTGACGTGACGTTACTACTCCTGACTCTTCCCCCCTCCCCCCATATACCGCGTGAGGACGCGATGCATGTGATTGATCCACGCGTCGTTGGCATAAATATCGTGACCCATATATGTTTTCTTCCCAGGTCGTAGATGCTGCAGTAAACTTTTGTGTTGACATGTCAAAGATGGTTCATGTGTGTATGTGAACGCTGGATCATCATACGCCCCACCTAGCTAGACCATTTCACTACATGTTTTGGTTTTGGTTCAAGTCTCGATACGCTGGTAGAACAAGATGTATGCCACCTTGTTGTCGCGCACGTTCTCCTTGGGTAGTGGCGTCCTCTTACCCGCTGAGTTGGGTGTCGCCGCACCGTTGACGGCGACAGCCCACTTCTTGGCCCCATCCTTTTGCTTCTCTGTCCCGTTGACCTGGTTCCAACCTCCCTTGTCGGTTTCCTCCTCTTCCATGTCGATCTGGGCAAAGAAGTTTTTGCTCTTGCCAGCGTCGCTTTTGTGCTGTTCGAGAGCGGCAGCCAGGACCTTGGGATCCTCTTCGGCACCGCCTTCTGCGACTTCTTCTGCGCGGACACGACGGATAATGGTGTCATCCATACGGATCCATTCCTTGCCCTCCTGACGTCGAAGGTCGACGGTATAGTGACCGCCACTCGCATTCTTGCCGTGGTGGTACACAACGCCAGTGAGCCTGTAACGCGGGAAACCTCCTTGAATCTGATAGCTGCCTCGTTTGTGTGGCGGGAAGACCTCTTTAGGAAGCTCTAGCTCTAGGGGATACCCAATCTTCTTCCAAATCTTTTGTGGTCCCTTTTCGTCATAGTGGAAGCGCTTTAAATGAAGTATCAAGACTGGTGGGAGAGTCTCAATGTGCACTTGCTTTGTAGAGGCCTTGGCCCCGCGAGCCGCACCGTCCAATGTCTCCAGGCGTGTCAAGTTCTTGAGGGCATCGGAGATGTTGTTGATATTGGGCTCGCCAATATCAAGTTGAAGCGGTTGGTACGGTTCCAACGTAACGGAAGCCTTTTCACCGGGTCTCTTGTATTCCGAGCGCAGCTTTCCACCGAATATCTTTGTGATCGGGCTCTCAATGTCAATGGCACCAGAGTTCTGCGTGATAGCGGTCTTCTGCTTATGTCCGACTTCTTCCCAGCCGCCGTCAATAGATCCTGAGCGTTCAGCATTGGGTGATGTACTGGTTTCTGCGGGCTGGCTCTGCTTCCCACTCTTGATGATGTGCACGCACTCGTCGTGCAGTCCGGCAAGCAAGAACCCCAGAAACTCCTCAGCATCTTCTTGTTGACCCCTCTTCATATTGTCGAAACGAGGCAAACGCTTGATAACATCGTAAACGTACTCGGGCGTAAGTGGGTCGCCGTACTGCTCAAGCTCGTTGCCTTTCAGCCGGAGTCGGAGTTGTTCGACATTGTTCGCAGAGTCGATGAGTCGAAAATCGCGTAGAAACATGATCATAGCGTCAACAAGAGGTGTCTCAGATTTGAAGCTATGAGCAGCGCGCTTGGCAACCTGATCAAGGAAGTCGTAGAAAGGAACGCAGAATAGAAGTACTTGAAGAATCTGGACAAATATCAGCAGAGGACTCAGGGCGACGACAGGTCAAGACATACCGAATTCATATAACAGAGGTTACCCGTGTTTACCAGACCACGAGGCTCGATGAAGGAAACCTTTTTTCCTGAATCGACTGAGAAAGACGCCAGAATATCGGCAAGTGTGTTGTTTTTCGGCACGACTGGGCCATTGGGAGCAGCAACAGCGCCGTTGGGCACAGGAGCTGGCTGCGCTGTAGCAGGAGCATTCTTTGCTCGAAGCAACTCTGCCCATGATTTTGGCGCTGCCTGCTTAGGCGGAGATGCTGATGGCATCTCCTCGGCGTTTGCGCCCGCGTCCGGTGTCGCCGCCACTGCGTCTTCAGCCTGTGTCGACTCCCTGCGAGTCGCAGCGGGCGACTTGACCGACTGTTGTGTAGTAGAAGCCGCACTTGGTGCTTTTGCGGATTTGACAGGGATGCGGGGTACGGCGGGGATCGTGCTGTTGCGGGCATGCTTTTTGACGGTAGCCGAGGGCTGCGCAGGCGACTGCACGGCGGATGGTGTTGTAGTAGACGGTGTGATAGATTGCGCCAAATCGGCCTCGGAAGGCGGGTGTGAGGTAGACGGGGTATCGACTTCAGCGTCCGAGGGCCCCGCAATAGTCGAAGCCTGTGATTCTTCAGGCTCTTCAGTTGGAGTCAGATCGCCCTCAGTGTGATGCTCAAATTCGTTGGCGTCATCCTCATCCACAGCCTGCTCGCGTGACGGGAGCGCCAAAGCCTGCTCTTCGGTAGACACGGGGGCTCTTCGCCTTCTCCGCCCTCGCGCAGCGCGCGCCGGGAACTCTGAGTCGGGGACGGACAGCCAGGGTAGAGGCGGATAGAAGGGCTTGAATGCGATGGATTGCGGGGTGGTCGGGGCTGCCTGAGTAGGCTTTGAGTCAGCAACCGGGGGAGAGGTGTCGAGGCTGGTGCTTGTCTGCGGGGTCGGAGAGGTGACTTGGGTGTGCGACTGGAGTGAAGCTGTGGACGGCGCCGGCTGGGGAGTGGGCATACGGGGAGCAGGCGGAGTGCGTGAATGGACGATGGGGGGCGTTTGACCCATGGCGCGATTGACTGGCGGGGCCATGTGCAGGTGCGAAGAGACTACGACAGGCGAGGCATGGGGTTGAGGCTGGAACTGGCGCGGAGGCATGGCATACTGCGGCGGGGGCGGCGGTGGTTGCTGATAAGGGTACCATTGCTGCTGCATAGGCTGCATGTGTTGGGCGTAGCCATGGGGAGGCCCGTACTGCTGGAGGTGGTGGTAAGGGGCGGCATAGGGGTTGTGGTGGACGGGCGAGTGTGTCTGGGGCGGGATATGGTGGTGGTAGTACTGCTGCTCCTGCCTCCTACCAGGCATATAAGGGCCGGGCATCATGAGCGGCAGACGCGGTGTTGCCTCCACAGTCGGCGCCGGCTGGAGACCAAGCAGCCAACTTGTGAGGCAACGGGGAGAGTGCGACTGCCTCTAGCACAATCTTGTCTTGCAACGACAAGGAGATGCGCCCGGCGTGATGGCAATGGGCGACAATGCGGCGTAGAGAGATGCGCGGATAATTATTTGGATGATGCGGTGCAGGGTCGCGCGACGGCGGTAGGCGAGGCGGGTTGAGGTGTGGATGGGCGAATAGACGACCGCGGGGTCATGGTATCAGGATGACATGAGCGCAGCAGAGGCTGCCCGCGAAGGAGATGGGTGGGGTGCAGAGTGCAGAGGGTGGATTGGGATGAGGTTGTAGACAAAGTCCCAAGCCGATCCGAAAGGGCAATCGCAACCGTCTGTGCGGAGACCCTGTCGTCAGAGATGGATCCCAAGGTTTACCCCCAAGCACCACGGCGACATTCGCTGTGCTGCACAACGTTTGTCTTTAAATCCATCAGCTCAAGTTCGCTGGCTGGTCTTCAATTTCTACGTCTTCTCAACGCAATTTCTGTTGCAGGCCAGCTGTTCCAGACGTTGTAAGTGGGCGAGTTGGACCGCAAACCGCACGAACCACGTGATTGCACGTCGTCATGTCTATTACCTAGGCTGTCAATCGCCACTCCACCTTCTGATTCTTGTCCCCTCCAAGTCACCCTCTTGGGGACGCCTACACTCGCATCAACACACTACTACACCCATATTGCCCTCTCCTCGTCTGTTTTTCCCTCCTCGCCATATCGACGTTCGTTCTATCAGCACCCTGCATCTCCTCTCGCGTCGCACGCAAGCCGGACACCAGCCAGTACTGCGCGCGCCAGCACCGTACGCAATAGCTGAACAGACGGCATCCCTGGCCTGCCGTCGGAGACGCTCAGTCCTGTCTCTGTTACCCTGGTTGTAGTTCCGGCTACTCCCGCCAAAACAGAAACTCCGGCCGACGTCGTCATCGTCATCGACGCGCTATCGTGAGCCCTTAGCTGGGAGTCATGTCTAGCAACCCACCCGTCGTGTCCTCGTCCAAGGCTTCTGCACCTTCTGGACCCGCTTCACCCGCCCAGAACCAGACACCGTCCATCAGTACCAGTAGCTTCTTCGCACAGCCGCGGGGTAGTGGCGCGCCGGCGCGATCATCACCCACTCCCCGGAACACGCAGCAGCAGAAGAAGCAGCACAAAGGCTCGAAGCGATTCAGGCAGACGGACGAGGATGCCATTGTCGAGTCTCTCGCCATGCGTCCATTTAACAATCGCAAGGGGCAGACGTCTATTACCCACCTCATGAACTTTAGTCTGCCGCCACGCCCAACCAACCACCAGTCGCATGGCTATGCAAGGAACTATCGGCGCAACCCGACCTGGGGTCTTGGCTCGGGTTACCACGCCGTCGACAAGGCGAGGTGAGTTCCAGCGGCCCGAGAACGTTGTAGAGGGCTCAGCTAACCTTGGATAGATATGTGCACGCCAACTACCGCTTTATCGTAGACCCGCGCGGCGATTATCGCGCGCAAAGCGTCGATGCTGATATCCACCTGGACTGGAACAACGTCCTGCAGATATTGGCATCGGAGCTTTCACAAGAGGCCTCCTGCCCTATCTGCCTAGGGACTCCAGTAGCCCCGAGGATGGCCAGATGTGGCCATATCTTCTGTCTCCCATGTCTCATCCGCTACATGCATTCCGAAGACGAGGGCAAGGCTCCCGAGAAAAGGGCACGTTCAAAGAAGTGCCCGCTGTGCTTTGACACCATATATGCATCCGAAACTAGACCAGTGCGCTGGTACACAGGACAGGAGGGTGAGCCTCCCAGAGAGGGAGGCGACGTAGTACTTCGCTTGGTTGTCAGATCCGCTGGAAGCACCCTGGCTATGCCTCGTGATGGAGCGGATGCTCTGAGTAAAGACGAGGATATTCCCTGGTACCATGCCGCCGAGGTTACCGACTACGCCCGTGTGATGCGGGGCGGGGAGGACTACATGTTAGAACAACTCGATCAGGAGATTCTGAAGCTTGAGCAGCAAGGGAAAGAAGATGAGGTCATGTTTGCCGAAGACAGCATGGAGTGGACGAAAAAGGCAATCAAAAATATACGAGATGCCAAAGAAAAGCTAAAGGGAATCGGAAATCCGCCAGAAGAACCAGTCAAACCAGCAGAACCGAAGATGAAGAGAGCACCAATCGTTTTCGACGAGGGTGCCGCACCAGAGATGTACACGATACAGAACGCTTCCAAGTCTGGCCAGGATTTCACCCCAATACCGAACGCCTCCGAGGCTGATGTCACTCAAAGCAAAGACAGGACGGTGTCCATGTCATCGCACTCCTCTGCGGCAAGTCATGGGATATCTCTTACGCTTGCGGAGCTTCGCAATCGACAACAACACGAGCACCACAAGACGCCATCCGAGTACTTCTTTTACCAAGCATTACTGCATTACTATCTATCTCCATTAGACATTCGCATCTTGAAAGCGGCTTTTGGCAATTTTGCGTCATTTCCTTCAACGATCCTTCCTCGGGTTGAGCACGTGTCTACAGGACATGTAGTTGACGATGAGTTGCGGAAGCGCACAAAGTATTTGGCGCATCTACCGTATGGCTGCGAGGTTGGCTTTCTCGAATGTGATTGGACCGACACTGTCGCCCCAGAAGTGTTGGAGCGCTTCAGGCCCGAGATTGAGAAGAGGCGAAAGAAGCACACCGAAAAAGAGACCAAGGAGGAGAAGGCGCGGCAACGTGCGGAAAAGGCCGAATACGCCGAGTTTGCATCTGCGCGCAGGAGGCGCCCGAGCATGACGGAGAGGTTCTCTGCCGACGACTTCCAGCCTTTAGCGTCAGGAAGCATGTCTGACGCACATCCGACGACAGACGGAGACAACCCTTCGACGTCGCCGCCCTGGCCACCACGCCGGGGCGATGGTTTCGCTTCATTGGCATCTCCTTCGTCAAGCCCGTCAGCGCCACGGACAGTATGGGGTACGGCGGTAGTTGCTGGCACATCCCCCGTTCTCGGGCCACAAGATCATCACGACGGCGATGATGGATGGCTACAGGGCTGGGAGAAGGATCTGCTTGCCGAAGAAGACATGATTGCCCAAGCACAGGCCATGTCTCTGGGTGAAAGCGAAGAGACGCCGAAGAAGCAGGCTGGTGGGAAGAAGAAGAAGGGAAAGAAAATTACTTTGATGAGTACAAATGTGAGGCGGGGAGCATAGTTAGTTTCGTTCGCATCACTGAGTAGCATGGCGCGAAAGGGAGCAATGAATGTATTTTTGATATGAATCACGTCGCGGTTTTCCAGTGATTGCGATGCACTTGTAGTAGGTATTTATAACATGTACTCACAAAAACCACACCAATCATCTAGAGTCAGCCTTGATGGTGTAAACCACCATCTGTAAACACATTTACAAACCGAGAAATGCCCTGTTACCGTTGCATATCTTCTCTAGATCATACAAGCACCACATGCAGCACTTCCACCCATCTTAATCGGCGGCCTAGAATCTCTCGCTTGTGCAACCCTCCCGACATCTCTACCCCCTCCCCCTCTTCCTCCTCCTCCCGTTCCAGGCCCAGCGTTCCCCCGCCCATGCATACCGCCTTGGTAACTATCCGGCGCCGGTGGCGTGGCGCCCGGCCGGTAGAAGGAGGAGGTGTTGCCTGGTGCGCGGTAAGGTGAGCCCCGTGCAGCGGCCCAGGTATCGAGAGAGAAGAGGGTGGTTAGGTAGAGAGCGAGGAAGGTGAAGAGCGTGGATGTCGTGGGTGTTGTGAGAGGAGGGGTGGGTGATCTAGAAGCAGAGGGGGGACAGTTGTTAGCTGGTGGGTTGGTGGATGCGGGAGATGGGGCGGATGCATTTACTTGTGGCCCTCCATTTTGGGGCGTTTAGGTTGTTCAAATGCGGAGGTTTGATTCGGGCGGCTGGTGCGACTGCGACGGAGGTGGGGGAGGAGAGGTGTCGAAATGGTGGGAGAGTCTGTCTGTATTGTGGTCGAGTTGCGCCGTCGCAGTTGCCTGAGCGGCATTGCGGCAGGCTGCGTTAGGGCTGATGATGACAGGCATGCGCGGGTGGATCACGCGAATCGCGCTAATGCAGGACAAAAAGTAGTATCTGCGACTTCCACTTCGACATCGTAGCACCGACCTGTTCACATCTTTCTGCGATCAGCCAGCTGACTGAAGAGATTGCCTTGCGATTACTGTTACGACGTCACTGATTGGAAGACCATCGGTCAGGGACAAGATAAAGAAGATGGGACATTCCAACGATAATGCCGTGGTCGGCACCAAACCACGGTCGAAGAAGGGAACGTCTGACGAGAGAGCAGACCATAGCAAGGTAAGTTATGTTGGGGTTTGGGCAAAATTGGATCCTGACCTTGTGATAGAAGCGCAAAGCGTCGGCATCTGTTGTCGTTCATCAAAACTCTTACGACAACGCCAGTCCTGCCAAGAAGAGAAAGGGCGAAGTTCAAGAACAACATATAGAACACATTGATACTTCCAAACCTACCGCCATCTTTAATCCTACTAAAGGTCGCGACTGGACCGTTACTATTGCCTTGCCCGGTAGCTGGACTCTAAACGCCAAGAAGCCTGATCACAAGACCATCCAAGTCGGACGAATCGCCCGCGCAGCCGCCATTTACTGCGTCGATGAAATCGTCGTATATGACGATGACCCAAGTAACGTTGACACCAGAGTCGTGGATCCAAAGTACATACGCAAAGGGCGCACCAAGCAACAAGTTCTCGACTCCATCATGGAACACGACGAAGCCTGGCAGAATCCCGACCAATTCCTCTACCACTTGTTGTCTTATGCCGAGTGTCCTCCCCATCTCCGGTACGATGCCGAGGATCCCCGAATGAGCATCTTCAAGGAGCATCAGAATCTGAAGTGGGTTGGTAATCTGCCCAGTATGGATATGCCGCATCATCTTCGGAGTCACGAGTGGTGTCGGTACCGCGAAGGCGTGTTTGTCGGTCCTGCACCTGCGCCCACACCCAAGAGCAAAAAACCGAAAAGGTCGCCGTCGTCAGACGATTATGAGTACGCATACGTCAAGTGCGGTCTGCCGTACCCAATCCGCGTCCCCGTACCCAAGGAAGCCCCTGTCGAACAAGGCATGCGCACAACCGTCCGCTTTACAGACGCTGAGGAACCGCCCAACTGGCCCCATTTATCGCAGCTGGAATGCGACAATCTAGATGCTACTGCGTGTGCAGCCAGCCTCCCTCGCGAGGAAGGAGGCTACTACTGGGGCTACACCGTCCGACGCGCCCCGTCCATCAGCGCCGTGTTTTCCGATTGCGAATACCCAGATGGCTACGACATGTCGATTGGAACCTCGGAACGTGGTCAGTCGGTTTACTCGCTCTTCTCTGGTCATGGCAACGACGCCGGTAGCGACAGGTCTACGACAACAACAGTAAAGGCTCCCAATTCTTTCAAACATCTTCTCATTGTATTTGGTGGTCAAGCGGGTATAGAGCCGGCTGTGGCTAATGACCCTGTTCTAGTGGAGAAGGGGCTGGACAAGTCGATGGCTAGTGAGCTTTTTGATGCTTGGGTTAATTTGGTGCCGAAGCAGGGGAGCAGGACGATTAGGACGGAGGAGGCGGTTGTTATTGGGCTGGCGGCGTTGAAGCCTTGGATTGATGGGATGGATTGAAGTGTTGTTGTTGTTGCGAGATGTCATATATATTTCTTACTTGGTGATGCGGGTGCATTGATGTTGCCAAGGCCAGGTTAGTTGGCGTGTTGGTTATCGTCCAGGTCTCATGTTCGCAAAGAGACATGGTTTGGTAGATCATGGTACGGAGATTGATAAAAGAAATTGTTCTTTCTAGAATGCATGTCTACAAGTTGTTTATACAATACAATGCTCGATAGGTCTAGCGATAGCTCATCTACAACAAGAGCGCTACTTGAACGATGCCATGAATGCAGGCTCGGTAAAGACACTTGCAGCTTTCTCCAATGTTCCCAGTCCCACATACTTCTCTCTGCTGTTTCCCAAGTCTACAAGGTACCCTCGCCCAAGCACCTTGGGAGAGGAACTGTGTCGCCTACGCAGAGGCTAGTAACACCATCAACCCACTCCATGCTGTCGTATTGCTTTGACGTGAACGAGTCAGCCTGGTAGTAAGACAGCTCTCCATCACCACCAATAGTACCGCTCCAGACATTTCCACTCGCACGGTCGGTCCACGGGTTGGTGACGAAAGCGCCGTACTTGCCTTCGGGCACCGTAGCAGTGAAGGTTTGCGTCTGCGTCGTCTGCCACGACTGGCTGTAGTCGACCGACATGGCGACCTGAAGGAAGTCCTTGACCAGCGTCAAAGTGCTGCTCATGCCGACGGAAATGGTGTTGCTAATGGAGAAGCCAGAGGCGACGGCAATGGTGGTCGGTGCTCCCTTGGTCACCTGGCTCACCTGCACGTCCCAGCCGAGGAAACGCGAGTTGGGGTTGGGAATTATGATGCTGGTGTCACGCTTGAGCGTCTTCTTGGCTGGTACGTCGGTCTCGTTGCCAGAGTAGTGGTTCGCGTCCAGGTAGGCGGGCTTGGGAGGTACCACGCCGGACTTGCGCGCAGCTTCCAGCTCTTCAAAGTCGGAGCGCTTCATCACGGTGAAGCGGCCGTTGCCGTGGAGGATAACGTCATCCAAACCGATGTTGACGGGTGCTGGAGCAGCCGCGATCAGAGCGGCGCTGGATGCGAGTGCGAGGAGAGGAGTGAAGTGCATGGTGGCGGGGTTTTATATACAGATTATGTTTTTGAACGAATGTGGATAATTCTCGTCACAGAAAGAGTGAATGAGCGACTTGTGAGGTTGGCAAGATGGACACTCGTCGTCCGGAAAACTAGCAGTACTTATCGTCAAGACATTGCCAGCAGTGTGGCACCACTTTGACCGTCCCGGCGGTACTAGTAATCGTTACTTGGACTCTGAGACGCGATCTGCACAGTTCAGTATTCTTTCAGGAAATGCGCGTAGACAAATTACTTGGCAGGGACTGATAAGGATCAATGGTGGTGGAGTGCTCGTATTCAGGTAGTGTATTCATGGGCAAGGCTGATTGGCCGCATAGTTGTCCGGTGATTTGTTGTCTCGAACCAAGAATAGGTCCTTCATGCCTAGCAACGGTATGTGTACGTATACCAAAGTCAGTCGTTCCTTGCAGCGGACCTTGCTAGGGGCCCGATATTAATTCATGTGTACCAGAAACACGCTCGCCTCGTTTTTCGGGCCGAAGCGCATGACGTACAAACAGGTTCCGGGCTCTCGGCACCCGCCTGCAATAATATGGGGTATTGGGTTCCTGACTCTTAACAGAACACTTTGCTGGGTAAAGTGGTTCGGTTCACTTGCCGACTGGAACTGGAGTTGGGTTTATCGGCGTGTTCTTGCGCGGTTCGTTAATACAGTGGTGGCCCGACCACGTTTCACGAGCAAGTGACGTTCGCCACAATTGCACCGAGAACGGACGAAGGATTCTGGCTGTGCTGTTACAGGCTCAGGTGATGATAACAAAAGTAGGAGAAGGGGGGTGCAAGTTCTATGATCACTCTTTCTTTTGACTATTTATCCTGCCTCTGCACCTCTGATTTTCAAGGTCACCAAACTCACGCTCTTTTGAGTCTTGTATATACACCAGTATTCACACTCGCTTCTGTCGTTACCTACGCTCTTTTTTCCAACTACTTTTCAATCTTAAAACATCATGCGTTTCTCCGTCGCCGTCTCCGCTCTCTTCGTCCTCATGGACTCATTCGTCAGCGCCGACCTTCACAAAGAGGGCCTCTGCATCGACAAGATTGGTGGCCAGTACGTGTACAACGCCGACGCAACGAAGAAGGCATGCGACGCATACCTAAACCGAAACACCGGAGACAAGCAATGGGACAAATGCCCTGACTGCAAGATGGTAATGAAGCCGATTGATGGTCATCAAATTCTCTGAAGACTAACACAATGCAGACCGAAGTCGGCAAGCTGAACCTTTGCCAATCGCTGGAGAACCACATTGGTGGTGATGAGTTAAACTACTACTGCACGCAAAACGGTGCTGGTGACTCATTGGCATCCTAGAGATTAGGACGAGAGGATGGGTTTCGGTGGACTGGATGGACGTTTTGGGCTCTTCGTCTTGTTTCAGTGTTCGATGGATGCCATCTCGTAGAACGTTCTCGGGCATGGCTAATGTAATCCGATAAATACAATGCTTGCCGTATGATCACACTCACTCCACCTGATGTCTTTTGAGCATCTCAATGTGTATGTTGCTGCGATTCTGCGTGAGCATGCGTGCGTTTTGCTTGCTGTGACTGGAGCTCTGGACGCAATTGCGAATCTATTTAATTACATTGGAAACAGTCAGTTTCCTAACACGTAGGCTGTCAGCCTTCCTGCAGGCTTCGTGCTCATATTACAAATGCTCGTACTGTTGGAATCGTTTGTTGTTCGACAGGGTTGGACGAGGTGACAATAAGCAAACACTGTATATTCACGGAAGAGATCAAAATATATGACGACTGCTACAATCGCGAACTACGATACTCTTAGCTTGCGCAATCTAGATCTTAGACTTTGAAGCAGCTCTGGAAATGGCAAAATTCCATCGCGGAAAGTGCACATGTATGCCTTTGCTATTTCGGATAACAACTTCATGTTCTGTGAGACCAACTAGCGTTCCGGCAGTCTTACCCGTTTGTCCGTAGTCTGAAGGTGAGATTTCAACGTCTTCGCCTTGTTTGAACCCGTGAGAATTGTCATCGTCGAAAGTAATGGTTACTGGTGCGGTGGTGGCGTCAAGAGTTCGCTTGCCCATTGTTTCCCCGTCGAGCGCATTCGGCTTTGGCAGTGTCTCTTTCTTCTCATTCAGCTGTGTAACGAATCTCTTCACCCACGCAAACACATTCGGATACTTCTTAGCATTGAAGTGCTCCGCGGGAAGGCTGTCTTTCATCTTTGGGTCCGACATCAACCATTTGAACGGCCAGACAGCATCGATGTCTGCTAGCGACGGCTCCTGTGTGTTTAGGATCCAATCTCTGCCGTCCGCGAGGAAATTAGTCTCAAGCATATCGAAAGCTTGCTGTAAGTGCTGCGCGCCTTCCGGTCGCCCAGCCTGCATTCCTTGGGCAGTAAATCGACTTCCCATGAGCTTCTGGCGATCATCGACGAATGCTTCATTCGAAAGAAAGCTTGCTTCCTGCCAATATGGCATCATCTTGACAGCATTGGCAAAGATACCGCCATCGATAGTCCAGCTCTCGAAAAGTTTCCTGATACCAACGTCGGCTGGCGTCGAGGGCGAAAGGGCATTGTTAGGGTACAAGGACTCTAGCGTGGAGATAATCAGCCGGGAATCGCAATATACATCTTTTCCAACAGCCATGATAGGGATCTTTCGATAGCCAACGCCAATGAGTTCAAGGTCTGGACGTGGCATGAATGCAGGTTGAATCTAGAAGTCACATCAATAAGCCAATCGCAACTCGGTAGATAACACCCACACATTCGTCATAAGGTATACCGCGAAGCCAAAGATACCATAGCACTCGGTGAGAGAAGATCGAGCCGTCGTAGTGGAACACTATTGGCTTCTCATTAGACGACATGTTGGAAATGGACCGTGAGATGCTGTAAGAACATGAGAAAAGTCTCCATGTTATCAGTACAAGGCAGTTTATCTAGCACGGGCGCGGGACGAGCCGTCTTCCAGTTGGTCAACCCACCTCATGACGTCAAGTCTAACTCGTCCTGATCGATGCTGCGAACCGAGGACCTATCGATGGCGCAAGGCGTAGAAACAACCTAGCGGAGTTGTTGCAGTATTGGATGTTGCGACAACGATCGAGTCAGCTGGTGCGAACCATGCCTCGGCACAGTATTCGGCAGGCGATCGAAGTGATCCGCCGTATGGTCTCTGATTGGCCAGGGATCTATGGTCAGGATCGTATACCTGGGTAGTACCCACATTACTGTAGCGTTGCGGCGTTGATCAACCCGAACTTTTGTATACTCCAGTATCGACACACTGCTCTCTCACTATGGTTTCGTGAGGCTCAAGACTATGCGAAAGTGTCATGTGGTTTGGCTGCTGCCAGGCATCTTGAATGCCGTGCCGTGCGAGTTACCCAAAAGACAATGCGACAAAACATCGCGCTGGAAATCTCGACCGTTGTTATGAACATGAAGAGGTCGCGTCGCGCATTAATATCAGGCATCATACCATAGCCGAGCGTGGACGTGAAAGAGACGAAGACCATCTCGTCCGGAAACATCAACATAGATCTCGGCCGATTCTACGTCGTGACGACGAGAAACATTGCGAACTGCTCATTCGTCTCAGCGATAGATGCGAATTCTGTGATTAAACCCTGCGAGAATATCACTCCAATTGAAACCTCATTGCGAACAAAGGATGTGTATTCATGCTTGATGACATCGCCTCGCGAGGGATCCCTGGTGCAGATCTGGCGTGATGCGGGATTGCTTCCATTGATATGTAAGAGCAACTAGTCATTGGCTAGGTAGATCCGCTGCACCTTTACCCGCCGGTGTCAGCTCCGCCCAAAGGATACGCCCTATATGACGCCACACAACGAGGATAGCTTATACACCTCAAGAAGGCCGGATTTTGCCATTCGCTGTCATAACCTTTACTCCTCTTACTCGCTGCTTTTCTTCAAACATGCCCACGATCACACTCTGGTTTCTCCAAGCATCGAGGTGCATACGCACTGCATGGCTATTGGAGGAGCTGGGGCTCGACTACAATGTCAAATTCTCTGACAGAGTGAATGGAAAGGCGCCTGAAGACTTCAAACTGGCATCGGGCAATCCTTTGGGAAAGTTCCCTACCCTTCAAGATGGTGATCTAACTGTTTATGAAAGTGGCGCAATAACCGAGTATGTAGAAAGCGACTATACTGTTGTTCGCATCTGAATTCAGACACAGCTACCTGTGCGAGACATACGACAAAGAGGGTCGTCTCCTACCACACGACCCCAAAGGGCGAATCAAGATCCGCCAGTGGACTCAGGCTGCAGAAGCCACATTCGCACTCCACGCCCTCGCCATTCTCTATGCGCGATGGCACATCCCCAAAGATGCGCCCGAAGGCCTCCTTGAAGCCACCGAGAAGAATATGTCGGCTAATGTGCAGAACGACATGTCTTGGCTCGAAACTGAGTTGTCGCTCTCGTCAGGCAAGTTTATCTGCGGCGATCATGTCACCGCCGCGGACACCATGATGCAGTTCTCAGCCGAATTCATTGTTGCGAGGGAGCTTGGGATACAGGGCAAGGAGTATCCGAATGTCAACAAGTGGTTGGATGCTTGTAGAGAGACCGAAAGCTACCAACGCGCATTGAAGAAGACGGGACATAAGATCTAAGGACGTCATAGTGAAGAGAGATGCGGTCTAGCAGTGAAAGCACTCCAGCTTCTTATACAATGGTGAACTTCTGCCTACTGTTCCAATTCACAACTCGTGGAGCTTCCATCAAATGATCGATCGCTGGATTACCCAAATCTACAGTTAGTGGGCGATAACGATCGTCCTCTATATGCTGTTGCCAATGGTTGAAGTACACGTGTCGATTCATTGGGATCCAAGACAGACAGACGATGATCATGTGTTCGTCGTTTTCAACTGGACGCAAGAGCCATAGACCTCCACTTGTGTACTCACGAGAAACTTCACTTCCTTCGTGAAGTCGGTGACCGAGTAGTTCCTGTTCGATTTCTGAACTCAAGACGTCTGGCATATAAACCACAATATCGTTACTATCGGTATCGCATGAGAGTTGCCACCGGCGCTTATCTTTCAGATGTCGTCTTCGTTCCCAGACATGATCGTCACTAACATAGAACCTCGTGTCTACGATGCCATGAAGAATGATCTTTTTCCAAGATATCGTATGACGCGTGTTGTACTCCCAAATTGAAGTCTTTAGGCTACTTGTAGATGTAGAGGGTATCTCCAATGACCCACGTGACGAAACCAATCTGTGGCCGAGACCTTTGTTCTTTTCTGCTCGTCGTCTACGAAAACATCTTGCAGTGATGCGCCAGTCTATAGCCCAGGAAGGAAGTGTAGAGTTCTCTTCCTTTGCGTCCAGCATCTTGAACTTGGCTATCAGTGCAAGACCCTCTGTCATGAGTGTGACCCATGTAACAGCGGATGTAACAGCGTCCCAGGAAGACGAATAGTCGACAGGGATGAAAAGTGATGATCTCCTTGCCTCCTCCCATTCCTTCATTGACATAGACTGTGACGGGTAGCTTGTGAGACCGAGGATACCGTAAACGTAATCTCGTGTGTCTGTAGATTCGAGTCTTCCGGTGTATAATAGCGTATCGATGAGATATGGGCGCTCCTCCTGCTTTCGTCGAAAATGGTCAAAGCAGCTCAGTTGGTCGGCATGGAGATCAACGATCTCGGAGATGAGTGGAGTCTGATCCTCGCGAATTTGCGGAAGCGTGTACAATAGATCAGGTTGCGACAACAATCCCTTCCACTCGAAATCGCTCTGCCACCCACTTTGCAGTCTCAACTCTCTTGCGGCAAAAACCTCCTGTTGTATCCATATGCGCTTGAAGTAGGTGAGGGAGTAGACTAGATGCATGGTAGCACAGATCTCCTCGAGGTCAAGAGGCATTCGGCCTCGACCACGATTATTCGATCCAGGCCAGTGCGGAAGAGCCTCAACATGTTTTTCCCAACTTGGCATCCTTCGGAGGTGCATAGATGGAGAAGGCGTAAAGTCACCCTCTGACAGGACGTCCGTCAAGTCTCGGTTCCCCAGAGGACCTAGCCAAGCAATCACTCTAACAGCTTTTTCGTAGATTGTCAACATGTTGCGCACTTGAACAGCCTTCTCCGCCGGATTGTTTTGGTCGATACAAATTGCATCTACCCACAAGTAGCGATCTTCATCATCGCCTTCTCGTAGTGCCATGAGGGCCTCGAAGAGATTTTTTGTGACTGAAAGTGACATATTGTTACACGTAATTTGCTTCAAGCCTTCCTGGCTTCCCCACACATACGAGAGAGCTTCGAAACTCCTCAAGTGACTCTGGTTTGAATTACATGAACGTACACCAAGGCCCTCGAAAGAAGGATGCAGTATGTCTGCGACATAGAGCGTACATACTAGCACGCTTTCCAGGTCATAATTGGCGCCATGAAGACACAGAAGTCTTGTCTGGTAGGGAGCTAGGGCTGTATACAGCCCAGATTCAATGTTCATATCGAGTGGTAATGGCACCGACGTCGGATAGTATGGTGGTTGGAGAGCGATGTTGATGTTGGTGCTGAGAAAGCGGGGCATAATCTTTAGATGCATTGAGGTGGTTGTGACGCCATCCCACCTTCAGCACCCCTGTCACCACCCCCAAATCCCGCCTCGCGCTCCGTGCGAAGTCCTGTTCAAGACCTAGATAGTTTTGTATCCAGTTCCTGGGTACCGGTTGGCGAACACGATGCAATTTAGCTGCTAGATGTTAAAAGTTTCACGAAGCACAATGCTGGCTCTTAGTACCCAGCAGAAGTGGAGCATAAAATTGAGATCATAAATCAATTTATTTGCTTCGCTACTATAAAACTATAAGCTCCCGAATGTAGGTGTTAAACATGCTCACTCGTTTCAAACTACTGATCGTCTTTGAGTCCCACCATTGCCAATGAATCCTTCCAAAGCCTCGCTTCGGCTTTGGGGTCGTAAGCATGGCCTGCAAAGCCCACGCCTGCGATCTCATGTTTGTCGTTACCGCGGGTAGTCTTTCCACACTCAGCAAGGTACTCTCCGCCTTTGTTTTCCCATTCCTTTCCGATCGCAGCCCATACTGTTGTTGCGGCGCCCTGCTCTGGCGACTTCATCGTCTTGTACACCTCCTGGTTGCCCTGGAAGCCTTCAACGATCTTGGGGTCCATGTATTGCATAAGTCCTGTTGCGATCATACCAGGGTGAACACTGGTTGCGTGAAGCCCCTTGGATCCGTATCGCCTCTCGATCTCGTTCGTCATGTAGATGTTTGCAGTCTTAGCTTGCCCATAAGCAACCCAGTCGTTGTATTCGGTCTTCTCAAAGTTGTAGTTTCCAGACTCATTGATCGAGGCGACGTGATGGGCTGAAGAAGAGAGATTGACAACTCGAGAAGAAAGCTCAGGGGTGGCACTAGCAAGGAGAGCTGGCTTCAAAAGTTCGAACAGTAGGAAATGTGCGAGGTGGTTGACCCCAAACTGCATTTCAAATCCGTCCTTGGTCTTTTCGAGATTCTGAATGGCCATGATACCAGCGTTGTTGATAAGGATGTTGACTTGGTTGTTCGACTTCTCCAGGATATCTTTTGCTGCGCGGCGCACACTTTCTAGGGAGGTGTTGTCCATCTCGACGAGCTCAACGCGTCCTGGCTCAAGAATGCCGTCCAGAGCAGTCTTGGCTTTTTCGAGGTTTCGTGCAGTCAACAACAGCTTTGCTCCGGTGAGCTTGAGAACGCGGGCAGTCTCGATTCCGATTCCAGAAGAAGTGCCAGTGATAACGATGACCTTTCCGGCCAACTTGCCCTCTACTCCTTCGTCCTTGATGATCTGGAGAGCGGTTGGGCGAGCATCTCCTGGACCAGCGGGGTTGGCATGAGCTTCAGCGTAGCGAGACATTGTAGTTTAAGAATAACTTAAAGTTCTTGGGATGGGAAGTGGTAGTAGTGAAGATGGTGATGATGAGGATTTGTGATTCATCTTTCGAATGGAGCCACCAACTCTTTATACTCCTGTCTCGACTTAGAGCCTGGAGAATTGCTAGGAGCGCTTATCTCTCTTACACGCCGTCGGACAAACAGATGCCCGTTAGTCACGGTCCGTGGTAGAAGAAATCTAGGATTACCACGGATGTAGTGTCGGTGTTAAAAAGATTAGTCATTCTAAGAATTTCTGGGTTTAGCATCAAAACAAGTCCCCTTCCCCAGATTTGCACTTTCGCTTACATTTTTTCCCTTTTGAGCATGTAAATTCGCCAAGACAAGGTCGGGTCGGCCCGAATAGAGTTCCGGCTCAGGAACATCGCTTAATGATGCAGGGTTCATTTTTGCACAATGAATTCGGCTTTAACTCCTACGAACTACAGTAAGGATAGGACGGACCATCCGAGCAATGCGGAGGAACGCGTGTCGAGTCGCAAGTCTTAGAGTCTCGCATTCATTTTCCACTCTGCGCAATGATTGCGTGCAGTACATGTAATCGATAGGAATGATTGTGTACCTTTAGGTTTGCCAAAGGTCTAAGGTTTCTTGGGCAAGAGTCATTGGTTTTGTGCCTTCAGAAACGGTCTAGTCAAATAATTCTAGTTGGATCTCGCTATAAGCTATCGTCTGGTATGATATAACCAACAATGTCAAATCGAAGTTCATACGACGCGGCACAAGGTATACAGCTTTGCATTTACTGAGATTCTTGCATGTTGTCTTATATACTTGTTTGATCTCAAGCTGACTTCGCTTTCTCAGTAGCCGTACTTCGCTTCTGCAGTTCCCGGTGCTCCATACTTCGGATCCGCCGCATCTTGAACAGAAACGTGCGGTAGTATCGCCCTCTCGTTGCTTGGAAACTTCGTGTAACCTTTGCCCCTGACGAACGTTGCCAATGTCTCACTTCTTCCTTCCTTCTCTGCTAACTCCAAAAAGTATTCCGCGTGTGCAGGCCCCGAGACATGAAACATCGCCTTTCCCACAGGTGTACGCTCGTCGACATAGTAGAAACGGCATCCCTTTGAAGCCAGGCTAGAGGAGGCAGCCAATGTCTGAATCATGTACCAAGCACTCGTTTTACCAATACCGAGCATCAGAAACATGGGTGTGACCTGAGAAAGTAAGCACGTTGCTATCTTCGCAAAGACATGCCCACGACCTACCAATGTGTTGCCATTGTTACCAGTATAGATGAAGGTCTTTTTTGCATCCTTAGGGAGCTTGCTGAAACCTGCTACTGCAGCTTGCGCAGCAGCGTAAGCGCTCACACTGTTGATCGCGAGGTCTTTCTGGAAATCTTGAAGCGGCGCCGAGACAGGGTTCTCAGGATCAGGACCCATGGACCAGGAGTAGGCTAGTTCAATATGAGCTCTTAATACAAGTATATGGGCAAAGGGAAGCTCTGGACGACGCGATTTATATCCTGAATGTGTACGAAAATCATGACTTACGGTTGTAGATGACAACATTTGGAACTCCTAATTTCTGCTCGACTTTCTCAAAGATCTGCCCCATCACGCTTGGGTCGCTGAAATCAGCAGTCAGACAGATGTCTGCATTCGCCTCGATATCTGGTTTGATAGTGCGAGCTACAGCGGCGATCTTGTATCCTTTAGTTTTGAACAGCGATAATGTCGCAGCTCCAACGTTTGGTCCTGCGCCGAGAAAGAGAAGTGTCTTTTGTGCCATGGTAACAACAGTGAGCAGTAGAATGTTGGTAAGCAGATGCTTGTAGGGTTGCATATACACAAGACAGAGAAGATGGATCAGTGAACAACTTTAAAGATGGCCAGGTAGCATGCTGGTCTATCTTTATGGTAATCTGGCTATATACAACAACTATCGTACAAGATTTATAACCAGGTTCAGGGATGTACGAGGATGTGTAGTGTGCCTCTATGTCTGCTGGTAACTAAGCTCGGGATTACAAAGCATAGCGAGATGATCTCAAACGTACAACCAAAAGGTACGGTTTTGGTTGTGAGGCTCAGGCGGTCAATACCAGGATCGGCAGGACGAAACCGGACCTGTCGGGTCCTAACCGCTCGTATGATCTATGGACTCTTGGCGAACGTCGTTACCGCGAATAGAGTAGCGTGAATGCTATAGAGCGTCTTGGCAAATGCACTAAGCTCGAGCAGGTCAAGTTCGAAACGGAGCCACCGGGATCGCCATGTTCTCTAAATCGTAGAGTTGTTGATGTTATGACAAGATATACTAAATGATAGTATATGTGTACGCATTTGATGGGCTCATACGAAGGGTGGGTCCAGCTACCATCGGTTTCACGGTGGAAGACCTAGGTACTTTGTAGATGTTCACCACTTCACACGTAGGCCATCGAAGCTCATCGGCATTGGTGGAAAGTCAGCAGATAGACCATCTTTGCCGATGTACTTCTCCTTGAGCAAGAGGCAAGTCGAGCATAGGCGCTCTCCGACTGAGTGTTCACCGAGCCACATTTTGCCTTGAGCGCTGTAGAGCAAAGTCGCGATGTCGGTGAACATGCTCGATGTTGGAGTTATTTGGAGGTCTTCATCGTTGAAAACGTGTGGCTGGGCGTCGAAGAACTCGTCGTCCTCATGCGTATTGTCGTTGTCGTTGTCGCTGTCTGTTTGTAACATTCCGGTGTACTCCGGAAGTTCGTCCGATATTGTGGGGGCTTTCTGCACTTTGTCGCAGACGCAGTTCGCGTTGTGACCCGATTTGACGCATTCTGTAACAGCTATACGCGCAGGTTCGACCAACCCGCAAGCAAATGGGCCATAGTCGTCTTTGCAGTGCGTGCATGCAGTTCTTGGTAGCTTTCCAGAACTGTTGTTGTGCGAGAGATTGTTGGCCCGGGTCAGTGCACGGATAAACGCTCCTTGCGCCATACCAAGTTCGCATAAGAAGCGATCAAGCTCTTCCCGCATATACGTCTTGACTTGCTCGATGCAGTCTAGGAGGGCAGTGCACCAAGCTGAGTAGATACTCGGTAAGGCTTGCAGAAACTGCCTATGTGTTAAATTGTCCTCCATCCAATCAAAGCCTTTCATCTGCAAGAACGAGCCGGCATTCACTATCATCGGCAGGAGTACTCGACCGCTTACCCGTAGAGCAAGCCAAGAGCCTAGAGCGTCCAGATGTCGCTTACTGACCTTCGAACGTTCTTCTCTAGAAAGACAAAGAACTTGCTCGAGGTAGTTGCTGTGCCTTGCGTGGTTGGAAACAGATCTCATCGCGTGTTGTAGGGCGGACCAGATATTGCGCGCACTAAATTCGACATACTCTTCATTCACGGTTAGATGAAGTAGCCACGTGATACTGTTCCGTGAGATTGGCACTCGTTCCCTCGCGTATGCTCGCTTGAGCCAGTCGTGAACGGACCAACCGTCGCTGTCAGCATCGGCTATATCAATGCATTCGCAGAATAGCCTGAGCATGGCGATCTTGGTATCAGCATGCTCATCCGTACAAGATGATACGAAAAGCGATATGGGTGATCTAATTGTTTCAGCGGAGGGTCCATCACTTGACATTGGAAACCTACAAGATAGCGTCAGAAGGCCCTTCATACACTAGTGCAGACTTGTCTGCGCCTCCCTTGATGAGTAAAGCGCAGAGATCGACGTGACCTGCTGCGGCAGCGAACTAGGTAAATCAGTATCTCTATCACGCAAGAGTCTATGATGCAGGCGTAGCAACTTACATGCAGTGGTTTCCACCCTTTCGGGCTTGTGTCGACTACGCTTGCCATTCCTTTCTCCAAAAGTGCTTCTACAGCACGAGTCTGGCCGGTGCGACAAAGTCCGAAGATGAGTGCGTCGTCAGGAACAGGGCGGGTCACTGTTATATTACAGTTGAAGAGCCAGCTCCGACCTCCAGATGCCACGACAGCTTCGAGGCCATTTTGAATACCCATGTACTGTAGCCATCTTGTAGGATATAAGATCAGGGATCTGATGATCTGTAACTTCCTTTGTCTTTTGGAAGATTTGTTGTCGTGGTGAAGGGTAGTTGTACGTAACCAAGCACACCCGAGTGCAGTCCGGAAGGTCGATACATGGTGGTTTACGTGATACCGCAGGTTTTCAGCATAGACGAAAGTCTTGGTCCGCAGCTGTCCACATGCATCAATCGTATAGCCATCTTGTGCAAATATCTCCATCGATGTTGATTCAAAGGTGGTAACAGCGGTTTGTGCGATAGCATGCAACATGAGCTCCTGTACTTTGTAATCAATCGACGGATGCTTGATTAGCATTTCGCCCAAAGGTTGCAGTGTTGCAGTGTTTGGAGACTTCATACGGCGAAGAGAACGCTGGCCGACGTATTTCGAGGGGACGCTTTGCACTGCTATCCAACCAGAAGCGTCATCGATCTCGGTTGAACGAAGCAAATCTCTTTGGGCGGCTTTGGCGGTCCCGTATCGTTCGATCTCGTCATGTACCTTTACTTTTGTTGGAAGACGAGAAGAGAGAGATTGAATCACGCTTAGTATGCATAGTCAGCTATCGATTCTTGATGTGCATTACATCTAATCGTACCTTTCATGGGCCAAAGCTAGTGTGAGTGTCGACTTCGCATCATTCAGTGAGTCGCGAAATCGTTGGATATGTTTGCTGTGAAGGGCAGCTTTGAAGGCTGTGCGTACTCGTTTCCTTCGCGACAGCGATTGGAAGCCATTGTCGAATCTTTCAACAATAAGTGTCAAATCCTAGAACGATCAGCTACAACCTGCATCACCGTCCGAAGTACTTACTGCAATCTTGGCTCGGCAGTGTTGTACTCCTTCTGCTAAACAACTGCCAAGAGGGTTGCTGTGAGATTCTACCCTCTTGAAGACCGAGATCAGATAGCGTAGATCCTCCTTGATGGCTGCAATCTCTCCAGGGGCATCTTCCACCGTCTCCCAGAAAGTGTGGAGTTTGATACACGCTTCGGTAAGCTGAAATGCTACAGATATGATAGCGAGGCCTGTATTGAATCAGCAAAGGACAATTGAGTCAGGTATTGAAAACTACCATTCGCCGCGACGGAAAGTCCTTCCATATTCACTGCAGTCTGATGCCATCGCAATAGTGGTTCGATCGGAGCTTATATCCTAATGATCTTGCTGAGGTATAGCAAAGGGGTAAGTATCACTCGCATCTTAGCATCGTGGCTGCGCTAAGGCAGGCTCAATGACTTCCCTGCAGGTTGCCTTATGCTTCGCTCTCACGAGATCCGTGCAGCTTACGCGCTTCTGCACTTTCCACGTGGTCATAGCTGGGGAACGGAATGGCAGCCTTGCATATCGATATCCGTGGGATGCTACCGCGATTGCGCAAGGCACGACTGTAGCACTGACCAACTGTCCTATCTTCTCTCAGGTCGTGCTATCAACATGCTTCAATGCGCTGCAAAACCCTTCTGCAAGCTCAACGCGACTTCGATGTTCGGATGCCAGCTGGTGAATGATGTCAAAGTTCAGGAGGCTGGGCTGATCGACGCTTCATCGCGCTACGCTGCCGCCCCCACATTATCCATTTGCGGGCGCAGTCACCATAGAACGGGTGCAAGTCTCCGTGGCGTGTTTCAAGAAGCTCTGGAAGACGACGGCAGCATCAAATAGGTCTGAGGCACTGCGTAGCGAGCCAACTTTGATAAGGTGAACGAGAGCTGAATGGGTGGAGGCACGGGAAGGGCCAGCGCGCTAGCGACAAGAGGGGCAGCGACCCGCATTTGTTGAGAACAGCCCCATCTCGGTGGGGCCTATCATCGACCCCATCCAACGGACATCAACACCAAAGAGTCATGGCTGTGCTTCGACGTATCTGCCATCTGAAACATCTCTACAACTTGCCTTGACCCCTATGCATCCGTGGACGCGACATCAGCACTGAATATCCCTATGCAACACGGGCTGGGCCAGCCGTAGCAGATGCGAGAAGTTGCGGTGTTATTGTCAACTCGCGGCTCAAGATGAATATCCCAAATGCAAGAGCTATCATTGCGGAACAATCAATTTCCTCCTTCGAAAGTGGTAGTCATCGATTTCGAGCATCACATACGCACAAGGAAAGGGTACTAACAACGCTCAGACCTATGGGAGAACTCGTTAGATGCACATACCAATGGTGCCTTATCATTAGCACGCTCCTGCAGGCACGACTTGAAGCAATGCAATAAGGAGAACCAGAGGAAGTCCTAGCTGGCCATGGTTCGGGGCTCACCAGCCCCACCCCGACGTCTCTGAACCAATACTTATTTTTAGTAGCTACTATCAGCCTAATCAGACAGTTTAGACACTCTTTCGACTTGGTCAAAGACGCCTTAGACACTCATGTGTCTCTACGATCAATTTGGTAGATCATTCGTTTGATCGCTATCATCCTCCCGATGAAGACGACGCGCGCAAGTCATATGGCTGGAACTTCGGAGCACAGCGTCGACAGTAGTCCAACACAACATCCAAGAACCGTGCTTTCTGTCCCAGCATTGTCATCATCTGCGACAAGGGCTACTTATGTTAGCAGAGACGCCAACTTGGAGCATGATTCGCGCTCTATACTCCAATTGTCCATGTCACGTTTGGGATCCGGATGGCCTCAGTGTAACAAACTCAATGATATGCTGGCTATAAGCCCGGTTTCACGAACGCCTCCAGTAAAACTCAAGGAGGTTACGAAATCATGATATCAACAAGAGCATGTCTTCCTTCCCTCGCGCTCTGTTCAATCTCCCCATCCATGATCCCGTAAACGAAACACTCGCCAAGTATCTCGTATTTGAGACGTCCTGGCTTTTGCTGCCACCGTGGTCGCAGAACAAGAGGTACAGCGCAGCCTCCGATGACTGCTATGATATCGCCTTTCTGAATAAAATGAGGCATTATTCCAACGTAACCCGAAGCGGTTGAAACCAATCGTCTGTTCCACAGAAACCTGTCAACCCGCCCCGCAGCTTCATTGTATGTCTTCGGGTCCTTTTGTAAGATATCCATATTCCCGAGATATGATGCCAGTGGTTTGCCTTTAATTCTCATTTCTGCGTTCCTTATCCACCAGAGATGAAGATTGTATTGAACCTCATCAATGTTCCCGTTACTGGTAGGATCGGATGATAAACATGATTTGTCGAGGATAGCGATATCAAGTACGCAAGCATATTTTCCAGGTGCTCGGTCGCCTTCATAATTTCGGTCGCCTACCAAAGTCTTCCAGATAGCTTCTTCATAGTCTGCGTCTGCTCCATACGGGTTTCTATAGGACTCTGATCCTAAGGAATCTACAAGCTCACCGGAATCATCATCCCAATGACGCCGCCCACTGAACCCATCGATCTTGTCGACAATCACACCGCGTACGATGAGGTCGGTATCTTGAAAGCGATAGCACGCTTTCATGTCTCCGTTTGCGCGATAACGACAGTGGTAGTTGCTTGTCTGCTGCTTGATCTCTTTCGACAGATTGACAGCCCACGAACAATCCAGCGCTTCTTTACGTTGGTAATGATCGCCATACCCACCGCAATGACCGAGAAGATTCAAATCATCCATAGTTTCGATCCATTTCCTAGTGAAATCTGCATATACTGTCTGAAGGTCGTGTTCGTAGTTCGCAACGATTTGCGACGCAAGGTCGTCTCTGAGGAGGGCCAACATGCCATAAACCTTGTCTTGTGGGCGTTGGCATTTTGCTATGCGACAACGCGTGATAAGGCACCTTTGGTAGTGGTCGGTCTGCCTCGCTTCTAGGTCCTGAAGTCCATGATAATCGTCAACGACTTTCCAATGATAGTTTGGTACGCGTTCGTAAGCACTCTTGACATCGTCGTGGCCCAAGATTACGTCTCTGAGGATGTCCTTGAACTTATCGTCCTCTAAGTCACGTTCAAGAATTCTAAGGCATTGGTAAACCTTCCGCATGCGTCCCCATGTCGTGATCTTTTTACCGCATAAGACCAGGCTTCGGTCGCAACTCATCGCTAGTTCCTGCATGATCCACAGGCGAGAAAAGTACGGTCGATATACAACGTCCTTGAGGCTTTCCCATACTGTACATAGACGTTTGCAAGTTGACATGTATTCCAGGAATTCAGTCGTCGCTGCAAGACTCCGCTCACGAGCCTCGCATACTCCATTGATGAAATCGAACGCTTCGTCACTGCCTGTGGTGGCATCTCCCAGCCACTTGACCACACACCAACTCTTTCGGTATATCTCCACCATTTTAGGGACTAGTTTGCTCTTCTCTTTGGGATCTCCTTGGTTGATGCACATCGCATCTGCCCACACCATGCACCCTCTCTTTACGACGTCAGTCTCGCGCAATGCCTCCAAGGCGTTCTTGAGGTTTCTTCGTACTTCGATCGCACTTCCGTTGACATGGATTGATTCCTGTTCATCCTCACTGCCCCAGGTGTGACTCAAAGCGACGAAGGCGGTTTCCGGGCCCTCAAGAGAGAAAGTCGATGATATACGACAGTCGTGAAAGGTGCGATGAAGGAGCTCATAATCCACGCGTTCCTCTGGATGAGGACATTGTCTCGCTTGCGACCCAACTCCTGATAGGCTATCGAGTGGCTGTCGGATTGATAACAAACGAATCTCTCCATCACCAAGTGGCTGGTACTCCATGTTGTAGACAGGTGTAGCACATTCTATCTTGTCGGCTGCGCAACACTATAACAGTTGACATCCATAGCACAAAGCCCCAAAACAGACTTGCAGTTGATCTCGTGGCATGATGCTGATATCGCTTTACAGAATGCTATTGGCGGAATTTACGTCAGATTTGCAAGTCCTCGCCTTGTCCCATAAACGAATCTTCTGTAAAGGCGAAGACACCTGGTTCGTTGCTCGAGCATGATTCGCCAGCCTCATCAAGAAAACCAACACCGGTGAGCCTGATGCGGTGATGCATGCAGCCGTTCAAAGAGAATGCTCATGACATGCTGGATAGTTGTACTTACGCCTTTATGTGTACTGGCTGTGCTGTTCGAAGGTGATTGGAAGAAAATGACCATTAGCTACACAGCTATCAAGAACAGCCCTGACTATCTCACATTCATCTATGCAAGTCAGACCAGTATGCTGAGACATCTTCAAAATGCAAGTTATAACCTGCTCGAGTGATCTCGGAGATGCGACGCTTTGAAGACTGGTACTTGTTGGTGGCGCTATGGTGTATGGAAGAAGACCACGCTTCTAGATGTCGATCACCTCTACGTTGCACAATGTTCGTATAACACGTCCTTGAAAATGGAAATCCATTACTCCGGTCATACGCAGTAAGATCTGCCTGTGAATATTTGTGAGAGCTATACCCTTTACAGAGTAGCCAGCCATTCCTCCAACGTCTCGTTAACCTCCTTCGGCTTCTCCAAATGCACCCAATGCGCCGCCTCAATCGTCTTGTATGTTAAATTCTTTACATACTGCTTCTGCATCTCAGCCATTTTTGGTGCCGTGCTAGGCGAGCACACAGCGTCCAACTTCGCATCGATGAAGAGGAATGGAAATTCCAACACACCACCATTCTTTTCGCTCTTGGCATACTCGGCGTTCGCTTTGTGGTTCAAGTAGTACGCGTTCGCACCAAAGAAGCCATGCTTCTTCTTGCTCCTGAGCAGGCTTGAGTAAAGAGACTCATCGAGCGATGTGTATTCGAGCGGGATGTCGGGAAGCTGCTCCGGGTGTCCACCAAACCAACCGCCATCTCTCAGGACCCGACTCGTGGGTGATGGCTGTCCCCACTTGCTGGGGTCACCCTTTACGTATAAGATCTTAGTGATGACGTCCAAGTGGCCGTCAAAGGCCTTGACACTCTCTTCCGGGTGCAGCTCGTAGTATCTCATGTACTCCCATTGACCCCACTCGGTCTCGCTCTCAGGGTAGATGTCGCGATTTATCGTGGTCTTGATGTAGTCCAAACCGAGCTCTAAACTCCGGTAGGGTACACAGAGGTTGGCCTGAGCGATGAAGAGCTCGGGGTAGTGAGCGGAGAGCGCGTTGATGAGGCATCCCCAGTCATGACCGATCCAGACTGCCTTCTTGACGCCAAGTTGCTCGGCGAACTCGACGAGCTCTGGGATGAGGACCTCAAGGGCGTACGATTCCTTCTTGCGAGGAGCAGTAGAGTCGCCGTAGCCGCGCATGTCGGGCGCGATTACACGGTACTTTCCCCCAGCAGCGAAGTGTGTGAGCTGGTGCTTCCACGACTCCGCGATATCCGGCCAGCCATGGATGAAGATGAGGGGTATACCGTCTTTTGATCCTCCTTCATAGTAGTGGGTGACTTCACCGTTCTTGTGAGTAATATCGCCTGCGGTGAATGAATCCATCATGAAAGCTGGTACAATGTTTTTGTTGACGTTTGAATAGATGTTGCCACGTTCTTGAGGTATGTATACTGGTTGAGAAAAGGGCCGATGAAGGCTCGTGCGATACTAACTTTCTTGTACCTCGGCATGTCCACTTCAAAGTGGAGCTTACGCTGGTCATAGCTATTCGCCAAGCCCATGCGTTGTAACATATTCCAAGGGTTGCATGGTCCATGTGGATGACGAATCCGATCGTCGTACGCACGTAAGCGAATCAGGGTTCCACTAAGTTCCGAATGCGAAAGACGTTTGTGGAATGACTTTACTACGGAATGCAAAACTCGTCCGAGCTCTGTGTGGGGCGGTTCAGTGTAGGTATGATAGTGACGCGTCTCCATAACATTATTCATGTAGGATTGGCTTTTGGTGTTGCTGTTGAACCATTAGACGTCAGACAAAGTTAAACGATAGCATACTCGGAACAACACTCTGCTGCATCATAGACCCAGTCGTGCGGAACGTCCATCATTCGCTCACTTGAAAGCATGTAAGATCGGGAATATTCACGGCTGCGTCCTGATATACAAGCCAGATTGATCATTCGATAAGTGGAGTCTCCTCTAACCGGTCGTAAGATGAAGGGCATATGGCGTTCAAACAGCGCGACCAGTATATCATCTGCTCGAATCTCGAAAGTGGTGTGAAGCCATGTGAGTCCGATATCTCCCTCTTCAGTGAGGAACATTGCGAACCTGCAGGTGTGCGATAGGGTGGTTCCCCAAAATTCGAACCCTTGCAGAAATCTATCTCTGTGGCCTAGCAGAGATGGGGTGAAATCTTCAAGATGGAATTCGCACCCCAACCTCGCATCAAGTGCATCGTACATGCGACTCGGTGCTATACCCTTCGGCTTCAAGACCGTGTGGTAGAAGTCATAAAGTTCAGCCGCCTGTGATATAGCAATTCCAGAGGTGTTGGGGATGCATGCGAGAGCAAAGGTTTTTGTGGTGGTTCCGATGTACCATCCGTGTTTGTACAGTGTTCGAAAATCATCTGACAAACGTAGTGACTTTCGTCGACGCTCAATCCCTTCTCGGCTTAGTCTGTGTCCCCAGTAATTCGAGAAAGATATCGGACAATTATCAGACATGACTCGGGAAAAGTCAAGTACCCATGAAGGGGTACGATAGCAATTTTCAAACAAATCGGCAGAAGGAAAGGCAAAGCCGGCATGCATGTACGGAAAGAGTCCATCTTCTGAGATCATCACTATGGTGGCCTCAGCAATGACCTGTGGCCAAGCCTTCGAGTAATCAGGCAATATAGGCTCAGCCACGTAAGCTTTGGTGATTCCAAGCAAACCGTAGATTCTGTCTCGTGGGTCTGTAGCTATAGCGTGTTGTGACATTGCCGAGGTTACATACAAACTTTTCCGGGGACCAAATCTCATGGAGTGGCGGAACATGTCTATTAAGAAGGACAAATGCGTGTCCAGTTGCTTGATCTGCTTGCGCTCAGATTCAGGTGTGACCGGGTGTCTCAGAAGGAAACCCAGGCATTCTTGGAGGGCTGAAAACAAGGAACTGGAGTCTGTAACAACATTCCCAAGCATAGTATCTGGTGTGTTGAACGCCAATAGAAACTCTTGGATAATCCAGAGGCGCCGGAACCAGGGTAGTTTGCTAACCTCTATCGCATGCTGGCAGTGATGAAGAAGAGGTGTTGTCCGAATCCTCCCAGACTTCCAGGATTCTACCCATTGTATCCATTCCGTTTGACACTGCTGAGAGTTTGGGCAAGAATTGAGATCCGGGAACTCGCCTAGCCAGATGACCACCTGTTTCGCAGACTTATATATCCTACACATTAGCTGAACCTGATGTGATCTCTCCCGCACATCGCTTTGGTTGATACATAATGCGTCTATCCATAGCATACGAGGTTGATCCGCGAGTCGAAGGCGTCTGAGTCCCAAATCAAGGCTTTCTCGCACAGGAACTGGACAGCCATTGATGATGGCTCGGTTCGAGCTAGGTGTGGTCCCCCACGCGTACGACAGGGCTTCGTAATTGGGTTTGTCGCCGAGGTTCTTCGTGTGGAGGTTCATCTGAACCACGTCGCTGTAGCGCCCTGGTAACAGCTCGACCAGCCGAATATCCCCATTCTCTGAGTCAATGGTTTGGTACGCAAGTGCGCCAAGTCTCGGAAGCAAGCAATCACATCCTTCAGGTCTTGAGTACAAAGGTGGTTGGACAGGCGGGAGTACGATTGCTTGCGATGTCTCCATGACAATGGGTTGTATGCCGATATCGTGGTTCGGCTGAGTTATCACTCGTTGAGCCGGAACTACGGGCTATACCTATCGATGGCAGGGCGCGTAGAGGTTTCGAAGGTGATCCAGCACGGTACTGTCGAGCTACGAAATGCGCGATAGTGGAGTTGAGGTGCGATGAAGAATACAGGCGTCACGAACATCCGGGTCGACCGTGGTTTAGGCAGCCACGAGGCTGAGGATTTGTGACGTGTAAGAACTCCATTGGATTGGCTACCCGGGGGCGCGATGAGTGGCGCATAACTATGCACACAGTATCGGGGACTCAGATGCGATCTTCTATCACGTGTACAAGTGGTTGTAGTTGCAACGCTGGGGACGCGTCGGCGGGACTCGAGCTTGCGGAGCTTCCACCACATGGGATGCTAAAACTGACGTCACCGTCAACTCATCTCAAAACACATCAGCCGCCTTCACCACCATGACACGTTCATGTTCAAGCTCGCGCGCTCTCTTACAACAAGATCCAACATGAAGCTCGATTTGGCAGTCGTCAATCGCCTCGGCCTGAACCCTGAGAAAACGAGAGTGTCCTCTGCAAGCGGAGGCGGCTCGAGCTCGGCATCGACGTGGAAGATCACGTCGCAACTTGACGATGGCACGGAAAAGACATTTTTCATGAAGACTGGGAACGGGAAAGAGGCGGGAGTCATGTTCCAAGGTAGGCGCAATTCCTAGCACATCCGGGCTGGCTAATTGACTGGCAGCGCGATGAAGGCGAGTACGCATCCCTCAAAGCCATCAACGACGCCGTATCCTCGCTATGTCCTCAACCCCTCGTTTACGGACAATTCGAATCGCAGCCCTCTATCTCTTTCCTCGTGACCGAGTTTCTTCACCTCACCGGACGATCGAGCTCGAAATCCTCCAAAGCGTCATCGCTGGCAGCCAAGCTCGCTAAGCTACATACCACGCCCGCGCCCATACCAGAAGGCTACGACAAGCCTGTATTTGGATTCCCAGTGACAACGTGCTGCGGCGATACACCACAAGATAACAGCTACAAGGAGAGCTGGGCCGATTTCTACGCGGAGAACCGTCTCAGATTCATTCTGCGATGCGCGGAGAAGAACGGGAGGAAGGATGGTGATGTGAAGAAGCTGGTCGAGCAGACCGCGGCACAGGTCGTGCTCCGCTTAATCGGTGACAGCCATCTTAACAACGGCAAGGGAGTTACGCCAGTCGTTGTGCATGGCGATTTATGGAGCGGCAATGCCAGCGTAGGCTTTATTGGTGCTAAGAAGGGCGAGCCTGAAGACGTGATCTTCGATTCTTCTGCATGCTACGCACATAGCGAGTTTGAACTAGGCATCATGAACATGTTTGGTGGCTTCGGTAGTCCCTTCCTGAAAGAGTACCATAAGCTGTGTCCGAAGACGGAACCGGTCGAAGAGTACGAAGACAGAGTAAAGCTATATGAGCTGTACCATCACCTCAACCACTATGCGATGTTTGGGGGAGGTTATCGGAGTGGCGCAGTCAGTATCATGAACGAGCTTATCAAGAAGTATGGTGGTAAAGGATAGTTTGAAGAATTCAATGAGTGACAATGAGTGGTCAAGTATCTACAGTTAAATATACACCAGCGTCTCATCGCGCCATCCCGAACAATTGCGCATATCTCATTTTGTAGCTTACACAGACCAGCAGTGCGAGTTCACCTTCCAACCTCAATCCACCTAAGCAAGGCCAGCGGCCTGGATAGCGAAAGAAGCCGCCGCATCCGCGCTGCTGCCGTAGCTAAGATGGCTTCCAGTCGCACCACCATCGCCACCGCCACCGCAGATCTGATCAGCAGTACCGCAGAATTGCTTGATCTGGTCAGCTGAAAGACCGCTGATGGCCTGGCGCTTCAATGGGTCTCCGAACATGACAGCACCGCTAACATCCGTGGCAGAAAGACCCTTGCTGAAAGCATTGTGCACGACCATGGCACCTTGAGAGTAACCCGACACAATGACCTTGGTGTCAGGGCATTGAGACTTGGCTTGCTTGACCAGGTCGGCCATCTTCTGGCCACCGTCACCACCGAGGTTGGCATTACCAGCAGCGGAAGCAGCGTAGTCAACACCCTGGACGGTAACACGGTCGTTGCCCAGCTTCTCGCGGATAGCCTTGAACATGGGCGGTCCAGAGACGCTTCCGACGTTGCCCATCTCTCCCGTACCACGAGCGAAGACGATGGTCATGTCGGTGCAGCAGTTCTTATCTACGATGCCGTTCTCGCTTCCTCCGAAAGCGTTGGAAGATCCAGACTGAGCTTGGCAGTTTGCGCCGATCGTGCCGGCACCGCCAGTGTTGCCTCCGCTAGTCGCTGAGGGTGCTGCAGCAGCACCAGTCTTTGAGGGTGAGGGCACAACGGCGTCGGCTGTCGTCGTAGCACCACCACCCGCGGCGCCACCACCGAGTCCTCCAAGGCCGCCGCCGAGGCCTCCGCCTAGGCCGCTGAGCCAGCTGCTCAGGCCTGAGCCGCCTGTACCGGTGCTGCCTCCACCCAGGCTGGGTAGGTTGGTTGGGAGGGAGAAGCCTCCTCCTCCACCTCCAAGTGATGGGAGGCCACCTCCGAGAGAAGGGAGGTTGGTGGGGAGGGAGAAGCCTCCACCTCCACCTCCAAGTGATGGGAGGCCACCTCCGAGTGATGGGAGGCCACCTCCGAGTGATGGGAGGCCACCTCCACCTCCGAGGGATGGGAGACCACCTCCACCTCCGAGGGATGGAAGGTTGGTTGGTAGACTCAATCCTCCACCAAGACCTGAGCCTAGACCAGAGCCTAGTCCTCCGGTTGGTAGCGAGAAGGATGGTAGCGAGGGAAGCTGGGGATGCGGGAATGCGGTTGCAATGCTGGCAAGAGCGAAAACTTGGGCGGCGTAGTACTTCATCTTGAGATATTGTTGAACAGTTGGTTTGGAAGTATGATGCTAAATAGTCTGTGAAGAACAGTTTGTTTGAACAAAAGAATGTAGGTGCACTGCACAACGAAGAACAAGACTGGCGCTGGAAGCGAAGGTGGTAAGGTTGAAGCGAAAGTAGGATCGAAGTCGATGCCCATCAAATCTGTGTTGGAGGCCTACATCTTATACACGAATTCGTGGTTGACTTCCTCGGAGTGCCATTACAACGAGTTACGCCGTTGGGTTTCGAAACATTGCTTCTGCGGCGAGGTGTGATGAAAGGAATGCCAAGGCATTTCCCATCAACGCGACGTTTTTGTGGGTGCGTTGCCCCGTTGTGCGGGAAGAGGCTGATGTGTACAGGGAAGTGTACCCATGTTTTCCGTGCCTGACCACTGAATCTGTCGGGTGACCTCTGCATGTCGTGTGTTTTACCCTGGGTTAGCCTCGGCATGCTGTTGGGACAAGTGAAGCTCTTGTTTCGACGACCAAGGATGAATGTGGGCGCATGACTCCAGTGACCGTTTCGATCATCGAGCAGGATTCCCGTTGCATTAGCGGCGGACGGGTTACTGGGGTATCGTATCAACCTTGACGAGTGACACAAGTCATGGGTTGGCACGAGTGAGTTGTGAATACTGTGCGCAATGTTCGGTGCGACATCTCGCATCGTGGAGGAAATGCAATGGCATGTCGTTATACCTTCAAAGCAAAGTATCCGACTTGAGCTAACCACAGCCTTTCGGAGTCGTTCACGCAAAAAGGCTCCGCTGTCAAACATATGTATAAGCTCTACCAACGATATGGAACCTTTGCGTCGTTGTTTCTTAGCAAGCCATGTCAGCTCGGCTGGCTTACTGTCGTCAATGCCTTGCTTGATCTGGAACTTGCCAGCGATGGCAAAGGACGAGACAGCATCTTCCGCCAAGGGCCCAGCCATCCTTCAATTACCACCCATGATCTTCTCCAGGGCGTGGAGAGATTGCAACCAAGTAGAATGGCGTAGGGCTGTCTCATGCATGTCGACGGTGCGACCTGCGACGGGCCTCGGCAGCCACCATGTGGGCCGTTTCACGATGACCCTGGTGCAACATCAACCATGAATCGCACGTTTGCTAACAATTACTTCCATCCACCCAATCAGATGTATGTCTCTTACCTTACATCCGAGGCTGGCTTCTGTGCCTCTCTCTCAACGTCCCGCAAACTTTCTTTTCCTACGCTATTGCGCCATCACGATGACTTTGCCCGCACAGCCGCCTTCACCTCATCCATCGCGTCATATCCGTACAGCCAAGGCTGTACCTCGGGACATGTCCACCGACTTGGAAATGCGCCTTTAAGTTCCTTGCCAAGTTGGCCCAACATCAGTTCATCGCGCCTTTCCTGTTCTGGCCCGTCGCGGAGGTGAAAGTCTTTTCGCTGCTTGAATGTCTCCCGTACGATGCCTTCGCCGCGTGTTTTCCGTAATTGTTGAAAGAGTTGAAGCGTATCTGGTAGCTTCTCCTTCGAGCTGAGATGCTCAGGTGCAAGTAAAAGTCCCAAAACGGCACCATCCTCGATAGAAGAATTCGCGCCTTGCGCGAGATAGGGAAGCATCGGGTGACATGAATCCCCGATGAGCACAAGATTGTTTTGCGCGTTGATCCAGGATTCCATCTCGGCCCGGTGCATCAGTTTCCACTTGTCTACTTTGTCCACACACCCGAGTAGCTGGGTTAACCTGAATCGATGTTAATTCTATAGTGCGGTCATAGGGTGAGGCGGGTAGAGCATCTTACACTGGATCCCATCCCTCAAACAACTTCTTCATCTCGTCCAAGTTGCCTTCTGTCCTTGCAACACCTTCTTCGAGATCATCAGGCACGAGTAAAACCACATTGTACATATTGCCGCCGCGCATACTGTATGCTACAACGTGTGCATCTGGACCTGCCCAGAATCGACACGCCGGAGATTGCACCATCTCCCTCAGCTTCGGATCGCTGATCTGGTCAACCTTGAGCACGATGCGATATGCTAGATCGCCGGTGGGTAGTGGAGGGTCATTTCGTCCGAGCATTGTAGATCGACACGAAGACCACAGTCCGTCTGCTCCGACGATGAGATCGGCGTCATATTTCTGGCCTTCAGAGGTCTTCACGCGCGCTCTATCGCCAGTAGCTGAGCCAAAGTCTACGTTCGTCACTTTCGCGTTCAATACAACAATCACGCCCAACTCTTTCGCTCGCTTCACCAGCGCTTGCTGCAGATCCACGCGATGGCAATCGGAGAATGGCGCGCCGTATTTGCGGCGGATGTTTGCATCAAAGTTCTCTTCGTGTGCGAGGATCTTGCCGCGATAGTTGTGTACAGTCAATGTGACGGGTTCGCAGACCTGGCCGCGGATAGTGTCGTATACCGACCACTTCTGGAGCAGACGTGTGGCATTAGGTGTCAACTGAAGGCCGGCACCTATCTGGAGTCGTGATAAGTATGAATGCTGTGTGCAGCGGCTCGGTGCCGTGAGCGCGAACACATACCTCAGCCAGCTCCCGTGCGCCTTCCAATACCGTGACTGAATGCCCTGACAATGCGCATTGTATCGCAGCGGCGAGGCCTGAGAGGCCAGCGCCGACTATCAGGATATCGAGCTTGTGTGACATGTTTGGTGTTGATTCTACACGAGGGCCAAAGACGAGTCACCGGTCAGCTTCGATAATGGCGGGTAGCAAGAGTTGAGTCGAGACGTGCGACGTGTTGCGATATCGTTGCTTCACTGGACTTTGTCTATTGATCGGACTTCAGATCTATCGCCGGATACAGCAAGTCGTTTTGCGTGTGCGCGCAGCATCGTGATTTCTGTGGCTGGATATTGTCTCTTCCGGGGCATAGAAAGTGGAGTGGGGATGCGGGGAAACCACAGCCTACTTTCGCGGCTCGGAGACCCTGCGCGCGAACGGGATTTGGACCCCCACCACCCGACATAAGAGTAATCCAAGCTCTTCCTTCTCGGTTGTGCCTGGCTTTTCCTGACCCCGTGGATCGATACCGGGATTCAGAACAGTGATTTCAGCTTGCCTGAGAGCGAGTAGTTGCCAGTCGGCAAATTGAAGATAACCTTCGCCCCAAACGAATCAGACACGTCAACTGTCCGCATCGCATCAGAGAGCACGCAACTGGCCGAGCGCGATAAACTTAATAGTCGAAAGGCTACCTGGGAAGTTCAATTGCGATTATGTATCTTTATATCAACCTCGGTGAGCACCCTCACTGCTGTTCGCGCATGGCATCATCGCAATGCTTGTTTGTTAAGCTATTCTGGACAAGAGAGATCGCCAATACTGCATCGCTAACCTTCTTCGATGGTTGATATCCAGCTATCCGCATGATCCCCCGAAGGGCTCATCGTTCATTCGCTCATCCCCAGTATTCTATGCAGAAACCCTTGTTGACATCGCACCATTTCTTTTCCAACGGCAATCTGCGGCTCAAACATGGTGGCCCCATGGTACACCCCAGGCCACACATGTAGTTCAGCGGTTCCTCCAACCTGCCAAATCCTCGTCGCAAATCTGACCGCCGCGTCTCTGAAGACTTCGCAGGCACCAACGTCGATGAATGTTGGCGGTAGATTCGATAGCTCTTCAGCCCGACCGGCAACCCTCACGCCCGTGGGATCATTCCTGTCCGACCCCAAGATAGCATTCCAGGCCCACTCATCCGTCCACCCAGGCCATATTGTTTCCGTCCGGAACTGACTTGCACTCACATAGTCTTCGTGCCTATCGTCCAGCATCGGAATGTTCAGTAGTAACGCGGCTACTTTGTGGCCGTTGAGTTGACGTGCGAGAAGGCTGGTTGACGCCGCAATCGCTGCGCCGCCTGAGTTCCCATAGAGTATGATTCTTGCCGGGTCGATATTCAACTCTTTCGCATGTGATACGAGATACTGTAGCCCTGCATACACGTCGTACGCAGCTGCGGGCGCCGGATGCTCGGGCGCGAGCCTGTATTCCGGGCTCGCAAAGACCACGTCGTCCGCCGGCGAGAAGTGCGCCATGGCTTCTGTGACACCGAAGAATCGAGTTCCAGCTATTTGTCCACCGCCGTGGATATAGTAGATAACCGGTCTTCCACTGGGCCACGGGCGGCGCGTTTCATGTGTGCTTTGCCAAAGCGATACAGTCACGTCGTAGTCACTTAGATCGCTCACGCCGGATGCAGAGAGGGTAACATGTTTGTATTCCGGCTGCTGTTGGGCGATGTAGTCAAGGTTGATGTTGAAAGCCAATATCATCTTTCGCGTGGCTTCAAGGTCGAAGGTCTGGCTGGAACTAGGCATACCGCTGCCATTTTTGTAGCCTACATCGAATGGTGGCCGGACAGGCACGTCTGCCATGGCTGTAGTTGGCGTATGTTCCGGAAGATAGGTTCCGTTTCACCGAATATGTTTATGCACGACAAGATTGTGTGACAGTCGCAGGATGGGAGAGTTTGCAAAGTCCAATCAGTGTACATTTCCTAGATACTTATATTGGTGGTCTTGGAGCTACACTGCGCTCTGTTCCACGGCGAAAACCCCACGGCTCATGAAACTTCCGAGATCCGATCTTGAATGTGTTAATCAGTAATGTGGGGTACACTAACCGTGCGCGTGACGAGCCACTTCGCGTGACGAGCCACCCCACCATCCCAACATTGCGCGTCGTCCCATCTTCAACGTGTCATAACTCAACCAATATGGACCCGATTCAAGAAGCGATTGCAGAAATCGAATCGCACGAACCCGGAGATCAGTTCCCGTACCTTCAAGACAGCCAAGGGATACTCAATATAGCCAATGGAGACTTCTTCCCGCTCTTCTGGAGGTCCTGGACGAAGGTTTTGAAACCTCTCCTCATCAAAAGGTCCTTTGAAGCAACTGGTATACACTCACCCAACTCAGAGGTTGTACTCAAAAAGTTTGCTAAGGAGGGATCAGATTTAGAAGGCAATTCAACCTCTCTACTTTCCAGCGAGGATTGGCTCAAGCTGAAGTTAATTGTACGCCGTGAGGTAAAGGATCAGAGCAGCAAGGACGTTAAGAAGCTTCAACGAAGTTTGCACCACATTGCAACTCAAAATACACTCCTCCTCGGCGAGGTTAGACGCCTCAGGCAGTCCCTAGCCATCAAGAAGAGGCGAGAAACCAAATCCTATACTCTACAGCTTAAGCATCATCCTAAGTATTATAGAGGAGCTGTTTGGTGGTCTCCCGAAAGCGTGAAACGAGCTCAGGATAATAAGGTATCACAACAACAACAAGCCGCGAAGAGTGTTAAGCGGGAGAAACGTCAGGAGGAGAAGAGGAAGGAGGACGCTGCAAAACTGGCCAAGAAAAAACACCAGGAGCTCATTAACAACACTAAAAAGCTTATACAACTGTCCCAAAAGGGCAAGCGCAAGGCTTCACAGCCTTGTAAGCTAGCTCCAAAGCGTCAGAAACGTATTAGGGTTGCTCCAGCTGTGGTAGGAGTCGCAAGCGTTGCACCAGCTACCCCGGCGCGTAGTCGCCGTTCACGACCAATCCAGCCTATAAAAAAACTATTTAACTAGCGCAAAACTTTCCCAGGCCTGTATATAGTATAGTCCTAGCTTTGCGCAACTTGATTACGATTTGTGGTGGCTCTACAACCTCATCTTTTTGAATATATTGAGTTGTTGGGGGTGATCATTTGGCGCACGGGCACTGTAGAACAGAGCTACTAGGCTTCGGACTAAGGACAGACGCTGACTGTATATCTGGCATAACGTGATGTGATCTGCTAAACACATAGATACACTTTTGAGCGTCAGGAAGATATTGATAGACTTTTTAGCCAAAGTCATTCCTAGCCTGCGTTGTCTTGGTCTAAGATTCAACAATAACGCGGTACGTTCCCGCCACATCGTCTCCGTTCATCGTAGGCCCTGCCACTTGATTAGACTACAGCTTCAATCCGGCACGACAGAATTGGCTTACAGCAAACTTCGCCCTCCATCTCACCACTATCGCAATGGCCCATCCCAGTGCTGCACGACAATGTCGCTGTGAACCCGAGTGCTCCACTATGACCTTGGGGGATAGTGATAGACACTGGGCTGCCGGAGCTGACTGATTCGTTGAAGTCAGTGCTGACACCGAGATTGTGTATATCAGCAATTTCAATGCTCATGGAGGTGCTCCAACTCTGAGTGCGGTCTTTGGTCACTGTGATAGACCCCGGTCCCGACACCAAGTCCATCACGATTTGGACGTTGTCAGCAGGCTTGGTGAGAATCTCGCCACCTTCCCAGCTATCCTTGATGCAGCTCCGCTTTTGGAGATTCTGTCCTGTCGTTTCACTGGCCTGACGTTCCATATTTCCCGCATCCACGAGTGTTGATGGTGGTGCTACTTCTGCCGGCTTGATGATAGTGCCATTGGCATACTGTGCAACAACAATAAGTACGACGCTAGATAGCACACTTAGGTAGAGTGCGCCGGCCATTTTAGAGCTTCTGTGACTTTGATATCGATAGACGAAAGCGCGAAAAGAAGCCCGTGTGCCTCTTTTTGCAGAGTAAAGTGCGCTGCTTTATATCTTGCAATTGGACGTCGAATTGCCGCGGGCCTGAAAACCTTATAGCTTTTCTTGTTAGCATCATTGCATTGATTCCTCAGAGTCCAAGCCACCTTATCTACGTCATTGCATAAGTATGTTTTGCTAGGGCCTGCAGTATGTGGACCTAAACTGTACAGAATCGGGTAATAACATAGGCCGTTTTGCAGCTTCCTCTGGTAGGCGCGGTTATAGCGGGATTCGCCTAGGTCTCTTGGAAGAGCTAATCCTCTAACACAATACCTAGTGTTTCTTCATTGAACCACTGTTATAGACCTATCAAGGTATCATGCAGCTCAACAGAAGGCGAAGCTGTATCGTAGATAATCGTTCCCTCAATCTACACTGTCGCTATCCACTTGGAGTCAAAACAGCAATGACTTGATACGTCGTTCGGCGAACCATCATTTTGCAATAATTATTGGCTCTAACTGGGATCCGCGCCTCAGGATAAACTAGTTAACAATCTCCATAATTCGGCATCATCCCGCAAAGGACCAGTCCAGATCAGGATCGGATCCCCTCCGCTATGCTACACAGTCGAATGGAATCTATCCTACACATAGTTACCTAAGCATAATGTTTCTTGAGGGAAGATCGATCCTGCCAACAAAGGCCAAGTATTTGGTGCCTCGCTTAGTATGGTGGATATCGTCGCTCCTTCGTTGCGCTTGTAGCCAATGAAAGCGCTTGTAGCCAATGAAAGAGCACCCTTGGTCACATGGAAGTGTGCCGTAGTACCGCTTGTTTTACCCGCTGACGCAACGCGGAGCCAAACCCCGGCGCTTACAGGCATTATTGTCAGCGGCGCAGTGCAGTTAACTGTAGATCTTCAGCGTTACAGCAGCATGGAACTACTGTAACACAGTATTCCTTTGGGCGAATACGGGATGCCTGATTCTGTCGATCGGGTCAATTTTAACCACAGGACCGTGAGGACTTGGCAGATCAGAGTTATTGTGCACGTCATTGCTCTTGGCTATTGAGTTATTGCATAACTGTACCTAGCCGCCACATACACTGGAATACAAATAGATGTATACTCTCAAGTGCAGACGAATAATTTCTTGAGGCTTCACCCTTATGCTGCGACAATATGTGGACGTCTAACGATCGAAAGTCACTCCTCTTTACACTATCGGGACTGTTGACCACAGCGTTTGTCAATGCCCAGAATTCCTCCTGTCGAGGCAATTTCCGGGATTTCAGAACCGTGAACTCAACCGGCCAGCACGAATTCACTTGGAACTCCTCCTACGCTGGTGAAGACTCGTGGTATGTCTCTGTCCTTATTGGATCTCGAGAAACCGAATGGAATGATGGGAGCGACGTCAGTGCGACTGCTTACATCTCCGCTCCTGGAAACGTGCGCAATGGCACCGGATACTGCAGCTACCAATACAACAACATCAATGCGACGTTGAAATCCGGAGGAGAGAACAGCTGTAGCGGTGTGATCAGCTCGGTCTGCATAGACCATCTGACAAATGCACTAAGCGATGTAGCGACCTACTGTCCTAGCTCCGACACTGGATCCACATCAGAAGCGTTCGAAAAGGCGTGTCCAATGTTGAGAGGAGGTTCACACAGTACGTTCCTTCCGTTGTTCCTGCCTAAGATCCCGTAAAGATCATTCTCTTTTCTTCTTCTGCCCCGCACAGAACAGATACTATCGACTCGAAACCCGGGATTTGTAAGTTTTGCGTATCTAGCTATTAACTTCACACAGACACCAAGTTCATCGACGTGGCAAATAACACGTGCGCCTATACCGACATGCCCGAAGTGAATATCCCCGACAATTACAGCACGTTCGGAACAGTCATAGGCCTCCAAGCGTCCAATACGATCGCCAAAGTTGGTGAGAATGAGACGTATGATCTCCTAACGCGTCAGACAATTCCACTCGTCCTACTGGGACGGTTTGTTGACCCAGAATCAAACCGTGTACAGAGGAGCGTCGAATTCGTGTGTATGACTGCGAACAATACAGTGGAGGGGAGCCGTGTACCGGACCAAGAGACGCCTTGGGAGAGTGTTGGGGCTCATATCAGTGCCAGGACGGTGGGATGGGCGGTCAGTGTGGTGACGGCGGTAATGTTTGTCTTGTAAGAAGTAGTGTAGAAGGCTTTTAGAGTAGGGAATAACAAATGCCCACGGACTCATAGTTAAAAGTACTATATGCACCTGCCGTAAGCTCCTCTTCCGCGACCGTAAATATTCGCGCCATTTACTAAGAGGATGGGCACTCGCTCTGGTTCACACAACGCTTTTGCATCATGGATAGCTGTAGTGCCTTGGCTGTCTATGAACTGACCCATTTTGCATACGGGTAAAGAAGTAGAAAAAAGAGTAGTCGCTTAGAAATGGCGGAGTGAAGCACCCTCCGATGCTCCGACGCTAAACCTGATGCAGTATTTGTAATCAGCGACTATAAAGCTCAGAAGCGTGGTGCAACTTAATGCTGCGGTATTCTCTTACTGAATTCATTCTATCCCCTCCAGACGTTATGGTCAGCTCGATCGCGATCCTACCAGGCACCGGAAAACAAGGGCAGGCAGCTATCAAGGTGTTCCGTGATCGCGGCTACACTGTACACACTTTAGTCCGAAATCCATCATCAGATGTTTCGCAGGAATTGCAGTCCCTTGGTGCAATTGTGCATAAAGGCGATCTTACGGACATAAAATCTATAGAAGCATCCCTCAATGGCACCGAGGCTCTCTTCTTCGCTATTTCCGCCCATCCACACAACGAAATCCTATTTGCGAAGAACATCCTGGCAGCCGCTTCGAACTCAAATGTACAGAGCATTGTGTACTCGAGTGTAGCTCGCGCCGGAGAGCATGAGAGTTTCCCTGGCTGGGATGCGGACAGCTATCCACTAGGATGGTACTGGATGAACAAGCAGACAATAGAAGGGTTAGTGAGAACGTCCAAGTTCACTTGTTGGACCATTCTGCGCCCTGCTTTCTTCATCCAGAACTTCTGTCGCCCTGAAGTCGAGCATATGTTTCCCGGCCTAGCAGAGAAGCAGCGTTTATCTGTAGCGTATACGCCTTCAACTCAACTTGATCTCATCGACACCCAAGATATCGCTAAGTTTGCGGCTGCAGCCTTCGAAGAGCCCGAAACATTTTCGGGACAGGAAATCCCGCTCGCGAGTGAGAAAATGACTGCTACGGAGCTTGCTGAGGTTCTTGGAACGATAAGTGGCAAGGTAGTTGACGTTCACTATATGAGTGACGACGAGGTACCAGAGCTTTTAGCTAAGGGATATCGAGCCGTTCAAGCACAGCAATGGCACAGGGATGTAGGCTATGCTGTGGATCCACAGGAAGTCAAGCAATATGGTGTCACACTTGCGCCGGTGCAGAAAGTGCTTGAACGTGATGGGTTAGGGTGGTAGGCATGATCTGGAGTATAACGTTCAAAAATACATAGCATCTTAGCCTGCGTTCTCTTTCGAACGTCCACTTGTCATTCTGGGTAATCTGTATAACTACTACTTTCAAAGGAAGAAATTAACTGTTCTATAATAGAAGCTCTTGCGCATGCTAGAGAATTTATCTCTTGTTGGTAGAGATCCCTAGACGACAATTAGCTAGCAACTTGCACACATCACTTCATCGGCTTCATCAATTTTCCACTCGGCTTGCTAGCGCGTTGCATTATAAAGATGTCGTATTGCTTCTTACTTCTAGTAAAAGCTGCGCTACCAAAAAACTACGGATTTTGGACATAAGACCATGTATTCGTCACCGGGTCCCAGATGAAATTGAAGTTGATGGGATCATCTCGACCAGAAGTAGCTCGGCCAGGAATCACAAACGGTACAGGTCGGGGAATGGTAGGGCCGATACGGAATTGGTCCGCTGGGCCATTGATACTTGTTCCTGTCTGAGCAAAGACATACGACAATCCGTACGAGTTAAGGATATTGTTCCGCCACAGAGTGGCTGCCCAGGCTTGCAACGCTGCCGAGAACGTCAGCATGGCCGGTGGCTGTGGCAATGCAACGTTCGGGTTATTGTAGCCTAGATAGAAGAGTTGTTCGGGGGCTGTTGTTGTTGCTGGAGTTGGACAGTTGAATAACGGACTTCTAGAGTTCGCATATCGCATGCCGTTACGGACCGCCGGATCGACTCGTGGCTGAGTATCGTCTCCACCCACTCGTGGATTGGCGTAGGCGTAATTTGGTTGTACAGTCCTTTGGCCATGGAACAGACGCATGGCTTGAGTGCCGATGAAGACCTGGCCTGCAGCATCTCTTATGAAGAGATTGGGGTTTGTGTGATCAAAATGGATATGTGCAACCACCCAGTTATCCTGATCGTTCATCGCATTGCCATCGACTGTCACGCGGTTTACACTCAAATCTCTGTAGCGATCGTAGATGGGTTCAGTGTTTGTGGTACCGGCTGGACCAATGCTATAAGATGTCAGCTTTCAAACTTCCTCCTTCATTGGAGAATCTGAGGGACCTTGCTTACTGGTAAGCGAGCTCCAAGAACACTCTGGTGTTTCCGCTTTCGCGCTGCCAACGGGCATAACGAAGTTGCAAGTGGCCTACAGCGATACCATCTAGAATAGTTGAGGCATCCGGCATGCCATGCCAAGACGCTCGCTGACTTGCATCATTCACACGGTCTGGGCCACTACCTGCTCCTGAAGGACGGATTCTTCGCCCCTCAAGATCGTTGCCATCATTCCCTTGGAATATTTCGTCCCCAAGATCACGCTTGGAGGAGGATGTACCAGATGAGCACAGCGTTTTCTGCGCATCTTGGAAATTCCACAAGTTCCTCTGGGCCGCATAGGGGTCCAAAAGTACGTCAGAAACTAGTCCGCCAGCTTCCCAGTCGTTCGTAGCCACCAGGTCGGCGAGGTTGTCAAAACCGAGGGTGTCTGTGGAGCTGTCGAACTTGGCCATGATATTATCCCAGCCATATTTGATGCCATCAGGGGTACTCGACGGGTACCTCAAGAGAGTGACCATCCAGTTGACTAGCTTGGCGAAGTCAGTGTCGGTGCAATCACCCGCGCGACGCAATAAGCTGCGTTTCTCGGGGAAATCGCTGTAGTAGTCGGCCCCGTCAATGCCGATGGACACCGGACATGAAGGATTCTTTGACCAGGCAAGAAGTAGTCCTTCGTACTCTTTGTACTGATTGTTGCCCCAGCTAGGGTCTCGTGGAGTGAGTGTGGCTGGTTTCTGGCCTTTGCAGCAAAATGCTTGCAAGCCTCCGTAACCGCAGCCACTGCCTTGCTGCATGGACAAACGAACTGAGTCTTTGGGGCAAGAGGTTTCACAATACCCGAGGTTGGTGACGGTAGAGGTTTCCTTCTTGTACCATGCGCAGTCGGTGAATGCATCAGGAACTTCCTTGCAACAGTAACTCTTTGCTCCACGACCACATGCTTGCTCTCCACCAGCGCCCATTGACGCAGATACAACGCGGTGAGGCCAATCGCCCTCGCAAGCTTTGTAACCGCCTGAGCCTGAGCATGTAGGGCTATCTCCAAACCACTTGCACATTGAATAAGGCTTTGTAGCGGAAGTAACAGTACAGCATGCGCTTTGGTGCTTGGAAGAACAGCCCACTGACAATGTTGCCACTTCGGCTTCGCCCTCAAGGCAGCCAGGTCTGCATGCGCCACTGTCTCTGAAGCCTCGCCAGGTGCAAGTAGGTAGTTCAGTATCTGCTGGGCAGCACCATTGATGCGGAGATTGACCGGGACACCCTGTGCCGTCGACCATGGTTTCAGAGGTGCCGTTGCGCATGACATTCTTCAATCCCGCTGGGCAATTCTCATTGCAGTTGGACCATCTGCATGCTCTGATCTCCTTCGGGGGGTTCTCTACTGGCTGAGCCACGATGTTGGGAGCAGACATCACGTCTCGTCCAACCGCCTTAGTGAGTGCTTTGGCGGATGTGCCATTCCGGTCGTCGTGGCTCACCGCCCATACCATGACGTTCTTGATGCACTGCGACTTTGCCAGATCTGCTTTAATCTTGAATGTGTCCTCGTCGTCGAAAGACACCCATTGCGTAGTATCCCAGGTTATAGTCTTGACTGCCTCCTTCTCATAAAGTTTTGGCTTGAGATTTTTGCTCGAAATCAAGTCCTGGATCTCGCTGTTGAGCAGAACTCCTATAGTGTTGGAGCACTTCCCAGCATTACCGCCTGAGGCGAAAAGGCATTTTGGCTCTGAACAGCCAGGATTCTGGAGGGTAAAACTTCGGCCATAGAAACCCATGCCGAACACCACTTTGTCTGGGTCGATGTCGTTGCGCCACATGAGATCCAAGGAATCCTGGATTTCAGTGAGATTGGTGTGTGCATTGACAAAGGGTCCTGTGTGTTTGCTCTTGAGATCCCATGTGCCGTGCAGATCGTAAAGCATCATGTTGAACCAATCCACAGACTTCTCAAGGCCCTTAATATCGAAATGTTGCATGTACCAGTAGCTCGATGGCAGTGTGACACTAAGCCCCTTGTTGCCGATAGCAGATTTCAGGTTTTCCATCCACGAGGAAAAGTTCTTGAAATCGTCTTTACGACCACCGCGATCTGGGTCGACCGGATATTCCCAATCGATATCCACACCCTCAAATCCATAGGTATTCATCATTGATATGAGCGACTTTGCGAAAGCATCTTGGTGGTCTTTTGAGGCGGCAATGTCAGAGAATGTCGTATACGTAGCGCCGGGGTCGTTGAAAGTCCAACCTATGTAATGTTCAGTCTTGGGACCAGTACAACAGCGCAGTTAACTTACCCCCGATTGCGATCCATATCTGCAAATTTTCCTGGATCAATTTGAGGCTGCCAATCGTGCTCATCAATGACTCGGCTTGGGAGCTTGTTGCTTTGACTTCAAAGGTAGTGGGGTCAATGGTGCCAAAGGCGAAGCTGTTCGTAATCAGCAAGTGTTTCCCGGCAACAGAGTTTCATCATTGCCTTACTTCAGGTGTGTGTAATGGCCATAAGGGATCTGATCGGGTTTCATGGTATTGCAGCTTCGTTCAGTCAAGGACCACGACTCATAGTATCCAATGACCTTCTCGATCTTTGTATCCTTTGAGCAAGACGGCCTTTTTACGGTTTTGTCACCGCAGAAATCCTTGGTGGTACCGCAGTAACCTGGAATTGATGGGTTAGATTCATATGGTCAGAGCTGGGAACAAAGATACGTACCGTACTCGCTGCAGCATACATTGAGAGGGCATGTAGAAGATAAGGACCACTCGAGACCCCACCCTGGATCGCATTCCGACCTTGATGATATATGTAAGCGAGGTTCTGGCACAGCATGGATGACATGCTCTCTCAGTGATGCGAAACATACTTGCGGTCACAAGTGCCAATGCATACATCTTTGGCACAGAACTTTGGTCCATTACCACAGACGCCATACTTTCCTACACATTGTCAGATCTGCATCATAGAATGTGAATCAGTCAACGAAATGTTCGAATAGCGACCAGCGTCCCTGTTCAACAATTCTTCGATAGGATAATGCAAGGTGTCGTGCACCTGTATCTGTTTCATCGAATCTTGACAGAGACGCGTGCTACTATCTGGAGATACTGGCAACAACGCAGGAAGTCATACCACAACATCCTTCCTTGCACGGGATCGTTGCACTGCACTCTTGTTGAGTGGAAAATTGGACAAGGAAAGCCAAAAATGTAAAAATTATACACGCTCTCCAAATCATTGGAAGACGCGCCATAGCAGAGGATGAAGTCGATGCTCAAAATTTGGAAGCGCCGTCGTCCTCAATATAAATCTACATCATGTTGCCAGTGGATCCACCATACACCTAGGTCAAGCTCGCCACGACAATATCGAGGAGTGACTGCTCTCAGCAGAGTGTGTAGCGCGTCTGTATCCGTAATTTCTCCCTGTACAGTGGAGTCCCTGATATTAGATGAAAGACAAATTCGGACAGCTCCGCTATGTGGCTCGGATATACGCCCTGTACAAGGATCGGTAGTGTGTTTGAGCTTCAGGTAGGATTCTTGCTCAAGTGCCTCCGATGCGATCGTCCTTGTGAGCCGAGTACTGCAGAAAGACGGGGCCATGTGAATTGAACCGGCTCGTGCCAATGCAGGGGCAAGCAAAATGCTCCCGCATGCATGGGTCAAGAACCATGAATAAGGCGTACCACCAGGATGCACTTGTTCAAGGGTCATGCGGGCCGGGCTCGATTTGGAAGGTATAATATCCAAGCGCCGCCAAGCCTTCTAGATCACATCGCGCTAGAATGAGCCGCATTCGGGACATGCACAACACCATGCTCACCAACCCAAGTATGTAGCAAGCGCTTCAAAATTTTACAGGAAGTGCGCGAATTAGTCTCATAGAAATGAACCCATCACAAAGCTGAAATGGTACGCCTTACGGTCGGTAGAAGCTTGCAATATTGCCGAGGTTTGCGACCCGTGCATTGGAAGATTTGGTGCTAACCTACCTTTGTGCATTGCCCATATTGAAGAAATGACTCGACTCCGAGGAAACTGGAAGATTATGAGCACTGCTTACGCTCTCTGTACCTCTCTCGAACTCCATGGCTATCATGTTTTCAGTAACCATCATGCCAATCACACTCATTTGTCTTGTGCATTTCCTCTTGGCTGTCAACGTCTCTGCAAGTTCAATCCATGGCGACCATCGAGCAGCCCATAACCGTCGGAATCTTCTTCAACGCCAGTCTACAACGGGGTTTCCTCTTGCAGCCACCGGCAGTCTTTCTGGCAACGGACTTTCATCAGCCTGCGAGCGTGTGTTGTATCAAAATGTGAGCTGCGACAGCTTTGTGGCTTCTCTACAAACTCCCGCCTATCGCGGAAGTCTAGGAGATAGCGATTTCACGGCAACAGTATGCTCAACTACGTGCGGTACATCTCTCTCAATCACACGCTCAAGAATCATGGGCGCGTGTGCATCTACACCAGATATCTTCTCAGGATATCCTGCGGTTGCCTTGGTCGACCGGCTCCTGGGTGGCTGGAACGAGACATGCCTCAAAGACAAGACATCAGGGAAATATTGCAACGGTCAGCAGTCTCCAAGCACTTCTCGATCTCCAACTCACGATGACACCAGACATCATCGACTCGTGGGACGAGGTTGATAAGCTGAGCGATCTACCCAAGGAAAAACTATGCTCGGATTGCCTTGTCAACAAGTATGCAACCATGCGGCAGAACGCTTACGGCGTCTACGATGAGGAGTCTTGGAAGCCTCGCTATGATACGATCGTGAAAAGTGAGCCATAGGAACTGATCGAAATTGAATTGAGCTTACATGAATACAGCATGCGGACTTTCCGGCGTGACAACGACAAAGAACACTTCACCCATTTCCCTCAACGTCACCGAACCGGCCGCATCTTGTGGAGGAAAGAAATACGTCACAAAGTCGGGCGATACCTGCGATGCAATTGCGCAAAGCAACCTTGTTTCATCTGGAAGTCTCTACGACACCAATCCTGAGCTTATCGACTGTGCGAATCCACCTAATGGCACCGAATTGTGTCTCCCTCCGTCGTGTGAAAAGTTATACAAGATCAAAGCGGGTGACGATTGTGTCTCAATTGCCTTGTCCAACAGCATCTCATGGCAGCAGCTGGGTAGCTGGAACGGTATGATAGAGTGCTCTGGCACCAACATATTTGGCGCGAACCCAGCATGGGGCTCTACAATATGTGTTTCACCTCCCGGTGGCACATTCGTCAACCTGCCCGCAAATGAGACAAACACGGGCGTCGGTGGTCCAGGCGCAACAGGCGATGGCTACGGAACACAGTTGGTCGACATTCCAGCTGGAGCGACTCTTGCCTCGAAAACCACGACCAAGTGTGGACAGTACTATACCGTCAAGACAGGCGACACGTGCGCCAATATTGTGGTTGACTACAATGTTCCGTCAGATCTTTTCGTCAAAGCCAATCCATCTCTTCGTGCTGCACGCTTGTGCGACGGTCTATTAGCTGTCGGTCGTACATACTGTATTCATCCGCTCAAATACTTTGACATGGACCTTCCCACCGGTTCGCCACCGTTTTCACCTTCGAATACTGCGTCTACACGTGCTTCACCGTCAAGCGGCACATGAACGTCCACTCACCGTTGCGGGTAATCTGTTGGAATGTCAAAGCCAATACACTTCTGTTGGTAGCACATTGGTCATGGTGTTTGTAGTGGTCTGTCTTTTGAAAGTAATCCAGGGGTCGGTATGGTCTTGTGGAGTAGCTGGTTGAGTATTGGACGTGAGTTTGTCGTCGGCTGCCTCGACTTTGATAGTAAATGCATATCTACATGTATCAATACAAATGCCAGTTTATCTACAGAATCCACCTGTTCGACAATGTCACATCTCACATATTTTGCACTGAGTCGTTCGACGTGAAGCAAGCTTCAAGTACAGGGGACGCTAACTCGTTGTCACCTACGACTGGAAGCCGCCCCTGCCGTAAGCTCCTCTTCCCTGACCTCGTCCAGGCCCTATATTCCGCTTGTGAACAGATATTGGAGGACGGGGCTTCCTTTCGAATTTCCCCACCTCGCTAAGTGTATAATTCCTGTCGTCGGCCAGCTGAAAGGCATTTTTCCCCACGTCGTCAACGGCATAAGGATCTGCCCCGCGTTCCAGCAAATAATTTACAACTCTTTCGTTGTGTGTACAGCTCTTAGCGTCCGAGTCGTATTCTCTCGTAATCGCGAGCAGCAAAGCAGTCTTTCCAGTACCCTCTCTAGCTTCGATTCCAGCACCATGGTTAAGCAGCGCAGTCACCACCTCGAGAGTTGCTCCCACAAACGCACCGTGAACAGATACAAGGGCTAGATGCAGCGGTGTATTGCTCTCAACCAGAACAGTTGCCCGTCCGTTAGAGCCACACGTAGGATCCTCCCGTGTTGCACGACCGTGAATATCTGCGCCATTTGCTAAGAGGAAGAAGACCAACTCCAGGTTACATGACGCGGCAGCATTATGAATAGCTGTAGTACCTTGAGCTGTGGCAGCATGAATATCTGCGCCGTGGTTGAGCAGCGCTCTAGAGATACCGGCGGAAGGAGACTGCATAAGCGGCGTCCATCCCAAGTTATTCCTTGCATCTACTGGGCTGCCAGCGTCTAGGTATAGAGACACTAATTCGAGCATCCCTAGCGAGCTGGCTTTGTGTAGAGGAATCTCGCCCTGATGATCCACAGCATTAACGTCTCCACCTGAAGCGATTATCCAGGAGGCTATGCTTGGTTTGCGTACATGATGTAGAGGCGTCTGACCCCCCGCGGCTGGAGAACCAATTACTGCGCCGGCGTCTGTGAATATCCTGACAAGCTCCTCGGTCGCACGAGGATCACCCAGGAGCTGGAAAAATGGCGAGCGTCCAGAAGAATCGGGAGAATTCGGATCAGCGCCATGATTCAATAGGGAAGTTATGAGAATCATTGGTGGTCCTTGTTCAGTGACAGCAGCATGTAATGCGGTGCATCGTAATGGGTCTTTGCCATAGGTATTGACAGATGCACCTGCGTCTATCAAGACGTCGATGATTTGGACCGCGTGATCCCACTGCTGATCACGAATATAGTCCAACAGGCCACCATCTCCATCTGCATTGTCGCAATCGAAAACCGACAGAAGAGCATTGTCTAATGCGGATTGCCAGTAATCGTCACGCGCATTCGTGTCGCGCTCACTGCCGAATCTTTGCAATATAAATTGTACCAGTTCCAGATTCTGGTTCTTGGCCGATACCCGTAGGGCATCTGCAATCGACCGTCGATGTGGTGTATCTAACAGGCTGCCCGAGACTTTTTCGAAAAGTAGACGAAACATGTCCATGTGGTTCTCTCTTGCCGCAAGAAAAATCGCTTTGGAAGACCCAAAGTCAACGTCATGAGCAATGAGTTCTTGCATTGCAGCGATGGCATTCCAGCATGCGGCCGTTTCTACTGGAATGAAGCCATCAGGTTCATCGAAGGTCCCGATGTCGCGCAAGCTTGTATCAGCGCCACGAGATAGCAATAATTGAACCATTGACGAACTATCGTTACGTATGGCACAATGTAATGCGGTCTGAAGTGACTCGTCGCGACCGTTGATGTCGACTCCACCGTCTAGCAAATCGGAGACCTTGGCTAGGTCATCGCTTACGGCCGCCTGGTGGATCGAGACATCGTGCGCGAATTCAGTGCCATGGCCCTCTTGGGTACTGTCGTCCGGCCAGGGCATGATTGCAATTACCGAAAATGTGACGTTTGCTGGCGTATTCCCTGGTGTGGTACATTCTCAACGGGTGTAGCGAAAGTATCGTTGAAGTAAAGCTGTACGATCACAAGCGCGGCGGGCGGCTGCCTGCAAGGTACTTTAGCCGCAACGTTGCACCGCTTGAATCATGCAGGATTGATACGCCAAGCCACTAGTTGCCGATTTTGACCCACGAAGAGGCTCGGGTAAGCTCATTTAGACTCACACGTACGCCGCGGATGCACCCATGTCAGACCTAGAACATGGCATGGACCTTCATCCTTCAGCTCCTCCAAGACACGGGCCCTGGCATCGGGCCGCAAGCACTACCTTAAAAGTATCGTCCAAATCCGAATGAGGGTAGCTTGGACACGCAAGGGTTAGTTAAGAACGGGACATGTGAAGTCGGCACTGGAAATTGCGCAGACTCGAAGCGCCGTTGCCATCGGTCAGTACTGCTCGGAGACTCTGTGTCCGTTATTGTCCAGTTTAACCAAGAACTTACACCGTGTGGTCCGGACTGATTTGTGAGGGCCGAAATAGCAGGTCGGATTATTGCTGTGTCTGAGCCGGTTGGGACGTGCTGCGGTAAAAGCGGTTCAACAATGTAACGGACGGCGAATAGAAGCAGCATATTTCAGACTCGGGTACTAACCGATATCTTGTCTTTGAAGTACTGCAGCATAGCCAGTAATCGCGATGACATGTCTCGATATGCTACTGCATTACATTTGTTGCACATGGCTCCAGCCATTACTGCCTGGCAGCTATATCGTCCGGACCATCCTTGTCGTGCCTTTAGTAGATGGCACGTTCAACAGCGAGTAGCACGTAGCCAGTAAATAGTTAGCATGTATTAGATTGATCTACTTTGAATATTAATGGAATGTAATTCGGGGTCCAAAATCTACGACTGAAGATCGAAGATGAGACATTCACAGCAAATGCCACGTCTGTCTCACACCGCAACGCAAACATAGTAGTCCAGTCCTAGTGTGGCGCAGGAACTTCCAACACCAGGATTCCATTTGTAGAAGTCGTTCAGGTCGATCTTGTACGTGTTTGCAATCGCCCAGCAGCCATCGTTCTTCACAACCTTGTGGAACTTCTTACATTTGGTCGTCATACCACTTTGAATTGGTGTTGGGGTCGCAATTCCACTTCCAGGCTTCGTAGGAGCCGGCGTAGGTGTGCGAGAAGGACACACGTATTGGCCTATGGCCAGGTCAAAGGTACACGGGGGAGGGATCGCCAATGACATGGAGCTCGTAAGAGTTGTCTTGGTGACGAAAGTAGTTGGGTTGATACCGATAATTGAAACGCAGACGTAGTTTGTTGGCCATAGTGCCGCGCATGTGTTTCCAACAGCGGGGTTCCAGGCGTAGAATTGATCAAGGGTGATGCCGTACTTCTTTGCAATATCATAGCAGCCATCATTGTCTTTGACCAGATAAAACTGGTCACAATTGCTGGTCATGCCTGATTGAATAGGCGAAGGGGTGTTGACGCCATTGGGGGATGTTGTTGGTGAGGGCTTGCTAGACGGCTTTGGAGTGGGACTAGGGCTCAGGATAGAGCTTGGGATAGGGCTCTGAGAACCTCCGATCACACCGACGCAAATGTAATTTGCTGGCCAAAGAGCCTTGCATTCATCACCGATGGCAGGATTCCACAGGTACAGCTGATCCAACGAGATGGAGGATTTGGAAGCGATATCGTAACAGGTATCGTCCTTGATGACGAGGTAGAACTTGTTGCAGTTGTTGACCATTCCCATCTGTATAGGACTGGGAGTGGTAATACCGTTGCTTGGTGTTGTTGGTGTTGGGCTTGCAGATGTTGATGGTGTCGAGCTTGTAGGCGTTTCCGGAGTAAGGCCCCAATTTCGCTCGACGCAGTAAGAGTTGCCTGCAACAAGCTTGCAACTTGACCCCACAGATGGGTTCTGAATACGTCAGTACATGTGACTACAATGATGCTGTAGTGACTCACATAGTCGCTGAAAGCCGTTGCTGTGATCAACCAGCTAGCGGCAAGATCATCGCAATTCTCAGTGCCGTCAACAACCTGCCATGAAGAACAATCAGAAGCAGTATCTGCAGCCGCATTGGTTGTTGGTTCCACCAGATATGCTCCTGTGTATGATATCACGACGGCGAGGCCAGCCAGTCGTTGAACATAGCGATTGAGCATGATTGTTACGTCCAACGATAAAATTAGGGTAGACTGAAGTAATTCGAGAAAGATTCCAAGAAGTTCACTTTTCTTGCGGCTTGTCAAAGACTAAAAGAGGTTCGAGCTTCTTCGAAATTTATATCAGTTCCGCATGGTAGATAGACAGCCCTGTCCACCGTGTGACGAATACCTAGTGGTAAAAGTTTCGTGTTTTTATGTCAAGCTAATCAATATGTACGCGTAAACTACTGTTGTTACAGAACAAGAAACGGCAAATAAGCGGATATCAAGTGTCATACTTACTAAAGCCTGCACACACTACGGCTACCTAGTAGCACGCCTTAAGCAATAGTTTGTTCGAATTCTCTTAGCACATGACATGATCAGTTAGCATATGTCTTTCTCCAATCTCAGCAGTGGACAAAACTCATCCTTCGGAGCTTAGATAGGCAGGAGAAACAACAAAAGGTAACTCGGTCATGCATCGGAGATGAGTAAATGCATTAATGTCACCACTTCATATGGGCATGTGCCCAGTCACCGGGACTTGTTGGTGGCGTCCCATTTTCCCATGTCCGTAATCAAACCACAACCCCAAGAATAGCATTTTCTTTTGATGTAAAGCGTTGCTTTCTAGTTTAGATCGCGGAACTATCTGAATGCGGCTCGGGTGAACCCGAGCGGTTGGATCATTAAGCAAGGCCCACGCCCGATATAAGCATTGACCACCAAGGCTGGGCGAGTCGCAGGGGTAGTAGTGCTCACTTCGCCCTGCAGACGCTCCCGCTCGCATGTTACAGCATTGGAAAAAAAATTTGTTCATAAGACCCACTTGCGGCATTCCCGGAACTGGCTTGACGTTCCTGAATCAGGCCACCAGTGGATAATATTCCGGGAGTTCGTCTCTTACCTAGCCTCTCATCCGCGAGAGCACTTTCTCGTGCCTAACCATCAATTTGTTGAGCTTGATATCGGCGAGTAGCTACTGCTGCTCAGCGTGTAACGACACCTTGACACCGCCATCGTCGAGATACCTCCTGCGGACCGTTTCCTCATTGATGAAAGCCACGAGGCCCTTTTCGTGCGCCTCCAGCTGGGCCGACGTGAACTTATCCGTCTTGTCCGCCATGGATGCGACCTCCTTGATAAACAGGCCCTTGGAGCGCGTCAGATTAGTAATACACGAGTCGCAAATCTTCTTGTGCGCGATCTGTTCCACGGCGCAGTCAGAGCAGCGATGGAAGACGGCGTAGAGCAGGCAGTCTTTCTCGATGATGAGCTCCTTTTCGTCGATGATGACGCGGTCGCTGTTGTCGTAAGGCTGCTTGGAAAAAACAGATTGGCATGCTGCTATGAACTCGGTAACGGTGCCGCTCAGTGCGAAAGAGAGCCCAGTGACAGGTTGTCCGACTCGGCATCGGGTACGACGTTAAGTTCTTGACGAATGCGGCTTTGAGGATTTGTATCATGAGCTGCGTATACGAGAGGTTGAGGAGGTTAGAGACGTACCGTATATAATCGCGATGATAAAGAGCAACAATAAACTTACGACGGTATCAGCACTTCTTGCCGCACGTTTCATTCCGTTCACGCTCTTTGCAATATCTCGCATCGCCATGATCAGTTTCTTGAGGAAATCTGCGACTTCATCTGTCGTAATCTCGCCACTGTCATCTTAATCCATCATCTTCATAATTTCCGCTAACGCGACACATAACAGAAGAACTTCCCCATGCCATAAGAGACATTGCGAACCACACATTTGTTCGCATGATGTTGATAACGAACGTATCCCATGGCATCAGGCTCGCGTCGAATTGGCACACCCTATACCAGCCTCTACCAATATAAAAGTGGAAAAACGAGAGAACCCACGCTGAAGTCCACAGAATCTCGATTCAGATGAGAAAGCCTGTCGTTTGGATGCCACCCATTGCTGTTGTTGGTGCAGACGCAGCAATTGCCACCCAAGGTATCACGATGATCACAGCAACTATCAACCACCATGTCGGCCAACGCAAGTCTCTCGACTCTTTCGTATTTCTGATATCAATTGTTCTCACCACTTCCTTCTTATCCCCATCGACGTTCGGTTTCGGTAGCTCGTTGATCGTGACTTCCGCTTTGCCGATTCCGCTTTGCGATTCGAGGACGCTGTGTTGGTAGAATGGGTTTATCGTTTTGTCCATCTCTCCGTTTGTTGAAGCGAGTCGCAAACTGCGGTATCCACAGGACAAAGCGTGGATAGCGTTTAAGGCTTGGTTTGTATGTCTCAGCTGATTAAAATAGCTATGATCGATGATGCTGGAATCCTGCGACGTCTTTCTCACACACTTCTGGGGCTATCAATTGACAGCTCAGAATCTGTGGGGTCAAGCGCTGGTGTGTCAATCAATCAGCAAGCACACATAGCAGTAGCCAGAGGTTTCTAAGTATACTAGATAAGAGAATTGCTACCGGAAGGCATTATCGCAGGGATGACAAGATGGTGAGTTGGACAAATACGCATGCAGGTTGTCGTCGCTCGTTTCTCTCGGGGAGGCCCGTGTCGCTCTATTATAGAATTGACAAGCGCAAAACAAGGCAACAAGGCAGTTCAGCACCTCATGCACTCCTTGTAAGTTGCAGGTGGCCTAGACTATGTCAGCTGTGTGCGATTGGCTACGGTTGTCAGCCACGATCATCATGTTGAACACCTGGAGCCGAGCCTTTTGCCACCCATGACACTAGAACGGCCCTCATTGGCCCAAGGCTGAAAGGAGGCGGAGATTAAGACGTTTGCGAACCGCCTTTCTGTAACCTTGGCTGAGCTTGTGCAAATGCTTCTTGGTTGTGCGATTCGCTAATCAGGATTCATGTGATGGTCTTCGAAGTCTTGACTAAATTGAGAAAGCAGATCTACCGTAGGTAATGGGCTTTAGTTTCGCCTTGTAAGATGTCTCTTCGTGGTTAAAGTAAATTCCCATATCTGCTTCGATCAATTGATCGTATTGAACCCATCTTCGATTGGTAGCCCCTCTGAGTGAAGCTTCATGGCAATCTTCTGTATGTAGAGTTGGCATGATTCGCAGTTTTGCCACCCAAAATTCTGTGATAGATGCTCCACACGCAGTCTACAGTCATCGTCATCAAATGTAGCACCCGTCGAGCCGACAACACTCAGATCAGCTGTAGTAGCAGCGGCAGCAGCGTTTTCTTTTTCCCGACGGATTCGTTCGTTCTCTTCATCTTCTGCTAGGGTTAGATCTTTTGGTTTCTTAGACTTCTTCTTCTTTTTGAAGGCTGGAGTTGCAGAAAACGCAGCCCAGGGATCTGCTTCTTCCTCTTCCCTCTTCTTGATCTTCTCGGCTTCGGCGGCGGCAGCGGCAGCTTCCTCTTCCGCCAACCTGTTCAACTCGGCTTCCGCCTCTTCTATACGTATCCGTTCTTCCTCTTCTTCTTGTTGTCTGATCTCATCAACCGCTTCTTCCTCTCTCTGGCGCCTCGCTTCTTCCTCGTCCTTCGACTTCGCCTCTTGGTCTAATTTGACCTTCAACTTCTTCACTTGCGACTTAGTTAACCCTGCATAAGGATTTTTCTCCGTCTCTAGATGTTCTTGTGCAGCGGGTACAACTGGAGCAATATTGTCGACATCAGGAACGACTAGTGTTGAATCAACCTCGAACTGGACGTTAGGTGGTGACACAGGAGGGGGCGGATTGCTGATCTTCATCTTAGACTTCTTTTTCTTCTTTCCAAGACTACCCCAGATGCTCCTGAGCGGCTGAACCTCGGCTCTGTCTTCTTCGTATTTGGTAACGGTAGAGTTCGCGGCGGCATCATCCCCCTCCTGAGATTGGGCAAAGGTTGCCTGCTCGGCTCGAAGGTGCTGAGTCTCAACTTTGTCTTTGTCTAATCCCCATGACTCTGCGTCTCCTCTCTCGGTCGCGTGGCTGTCTTCCTCGATGCTTGAAGGTAAGGCTGCAGGCGCATCAGCCTCCTGACTGCTACTCCCGTCCTGAGCCAGATCATGAGGACCCCAGGCAGCTGACGAGTCATCGAAAGCTCCAAACTTCTGTACAGACGTGGGCCATGCGTTAGAACCCTCAGCGGTGCGCTTGGAAGGATGGTCTGCTATGTCAGACAGACATGGCTCTTGAAGCTCGTCATGTCCTGGTGCTGAGATTCGACCGGCTGCGGTCTTTTCTTTGCGCAACTTGTCTATGTCTTCGCTTAACAGACTAACGAGGATTTGAGCTACCAACTTCGTCAACGTAGGGCTTTCGATGCTGTCGAAGAAGTCTGGTGCCAATATCGCGGAGGGGTCGTGTTCGAAGGCCGACCCAACTTTCATCGAAACGTAGTCTCGAAGCCACGCATGTTCGCCGGAAGGACCTACAAGGAGATCCTCTCGAATAACGCGCACAGCATCACGTAGACACATGTCCTCGCCTCGTCGCTCCAGCTCGACTTGCGCTAAGTCCTGGAGACCAGGCACGCCGTACTTCTTAGCGGCCTCAAGAGTAAGGAGAGCTGTTTGGAATTCATTGAGGACGGTATCTTGCTGTGCGTTCTCGGTGCTCTCGAGACCTTCTTCGCTGAGAGTTTGATACTGACCTGTGTGCAGGAAATGAATCAAGACATGACCGATGCTCGCGTCAACATCTGCGAGGTGGATCTTGCCTGTCCAGGGATCACGACTTGGGATTCTCTCCAATCTTTGCAGCAAGATATCTGGTAGATAATATTCCTGGAGGGTAGGGCCAAAGTGCAAGGTGACACTGGGGCTGGTGTATGGGCTGAAATAGTCAGCTTTGCAAGGTCGTGCTTGCCCGAACGAAGGAAGATGGACTTACCTTGTCACGGGTCGAGGAATTGCAACACTGGCGGCTTTCGCCGGACGCTTCATTTTCTTGGCCATCGCAATCGAAGCAATTTAGGTAGCACTATCTGTAGAATCCCCCTTTCGAAATTTCGGGGCGAGAAAGTACCCAGATCAGTGATGTAGTCACAGAGAAGGACCTTTTATGTTGAACGTGTGATAGTTCCAGAAACCTCTCGTGTTCGGCACGTGCATAAGCATTTCTGAATGACGTTCCACCCAATCATGCACACGGTGTTCGTGGAGGACCTCTGCATATGCGAAAACACGACAGCCTGCATACCACGCCGCTTAGCCGCTTGACCCCGCACTCGAACACTCAATCCGATCAGAGACTACATCCTAGGATCACAGTCACCGAAAGTGCATGCAAAGAGTAAGCCTTAGTAAAGACATAGCACAGTTGGAACTTAATGCGTTCTATGACCACAGCATTTATTCCGGACCGACCTGCCCAGGTGATCGCGTTTCCTGAACATGGAGGATACTATTTGTTCCAAAGACCGAATTGCGACCTCTCAGCCTCTCGATGTTTTGTTTATGGTTGCCACACTCCGCATTGATTTATGCGAGCACTTCCAGGAAACGACATCGCAGACGCAGCCACGGCGCGTAATGTGTCACTGTGCCATTGGTTCGAGATATGCATAGCAATCCAACAGTATAGTGGCCTCGCTCCGATTCATATCTTATAAGCTGAACACGTTCAGCGTTTGCACTTATCAGTCAGCCGCAATCTCACTCGGGTAAGCTGCATTTCTCAAAAGTAAGACTGCGACTGGACACACAATGAGCTTCTGTGTACCGTGCAATCGCCCTTTCGGTAGCGACCAGGCACTCAGGCAACATGAAGAGGATTCGCCAAAGCATGGGCCTTTCGACTGCAAGGCATGCAATCGCTCTTTTATTAGCCAGAATGCATTGACTCAGCACCAAAACGACTCCCCAGTCCACCAAAGATCCAGGAGGGACTCAGTCACTACATCAGTCACGCCTTTTCTCTCTACTCAACATGTCCCTTTGCCGTTCTCAACACCTCCCAATGTCTCTTTGGCAACGGATAATGGCCAGCGCAGCGGCCACACCGCGACGGAAACCAGTTCACACGCAAATCCGACATTCGACTCAGATTTCATCCTACTTGAAGACTCTTTGCAGGCTCTCACTATATCGGATGTCAACACGTCTATCGCAAGACCAAATATTGGTCCGGTACGGATTCCTAGGATACTGCAAAAGGAATTCTCGTTTCCTGAGCTGCACCAACGCATCGCAGAAGCTGTCGCGCCCGCCATAACTTCAACGTGGTTCAATCACAACACAGAGGCTCCCTTTGAACGGGAATACGGAACGAATATCGTGGGGACATTTAAATGCGTGAACAACCGATGCAAAAAGAAAGGATGGAGTAGTGGGGTGGTAGCAATTTGGATCTATGGATACTCTCGTAATGGATACAACGCTATTGTGTACAATCAGCGATGCAAGGCTTGCGACTGGCTAGGAAGCCTCAAGATGGATGAGGAATCGTACGTAGAGCGGATTGCGTACAGACTCAAGAAATGGGCAGGCGTGAGGATGGAGCGGCCATTCTTTGGTCACAAGATCCTTCGTGGTCCACATGACAGCGAGCGCTGCGAGGGCTGTAAGGTGGGACATTGTACACAGGCAGACGACTTGTTAGAATAGCAAGTATTTCCATCATAGTGGCTAGTGTTGGAGTTGAAGTGCGATGAGTTGATTCTACAGAGTATTCGAACATATAGGATGTACGCTAGTGGGTGCGGGAAGCACCAATAACAATCATGAGATGGCTCCTTCTCCAATTAGTGGAGGTGAGACGAGGCGAGATCTCACCACGCCGGTAGCAACCAGAGCTAATATATGTACGAGCAACGGATTGGTCATCAACACCGCCCTGGTCACACAAGCCCCGCCTGCGTGTATAGCAATCGCCCAGTCCTGTCGATCATGTTCGTATAAGTGCACCCAGCACCTCCAACTTAGACGACCGGTTAGGCTGGACTAAGCGACATCGCTTTCGTCCTACACTTCAGCGGAGCAACGAACACCTCGAGCACTTTTTACACCATGGCTACAACCATCCTTAGCCTACTTGGAGACATACTAGTCATATATATAGTTGCTCATCTCGTTCGGCGGGCAAAGCTACCCCCAGGCCCCCGCGGCCTGCCTTTGCTCGGGAACCTCCACCAAGCACCGAAAGGTGCACCGTGGTTGACCTTCACCAAGTGGATCAAGCAGTACGGGAACATTGTTTCAGTCAACCTTGGAGGTACCATCATCATAGTTGGTGATTATGAAACGGCCAAAGAACTTCTCGACAAGCGAAGGAACATCTATAGTAGCAGGCCGCGTCTCGTAGGAAATTACCATGACGTGTCAAGAAGTAACACTGACCGATGCGGATAGGTCATGGGGCACGAGTTAGTGTGCAACAGCAATCCGATCGTGTTCAAACCTTTTGGTACAGATTTCCTTCTACACCAGAAGCTTCAAGCGCCGGTATTGAGCCCGCGGGCAACGGCTTGCTACACACCTATCCAAGACCTGGAGAGTCAACAACTACTCAAAAGCCTTCTGGAGTCACCCGGAAGCATCGCGCATTGCGTCGAAGTGTTTGCAACGAGCTTGGCGTACTCTATGGCTTTCGGGATGCGTATTCACACCGGAAAAGAGTGGCAGGTGGAACGGACTCGCGAATGCATGAAGAACTTTCACGTTGCCGGCCAACCGGGAGTTTGGATCGTGGATGCACTGCCGTGGCTCAACTACCTGCCCGCAGCCATTGCGCCTTGGAAGCGCCAGGCCGCAAAGTGGTTCCATGAGCTCGACGACCTGCACGTCAAGAGCTACAACGAGGCGCTCGGACGCGAGGGTTGGAACTGGGCGAAAGACTTTGAGAGGGCTGTCGAAGCCCAGAGCATGACTGAGCAGCAGGTCGCCTGGGATGTTGGTATACTGGCCGACGCTGGGGTTGAAACCATGAGCGCTACCCTCATGATCTTTGTCCTCGCATGCGTCGCGCATCCTGAATGGCTTGCGAAGGCGCAGAAGGAGATTGACGAAGTCGTAGGCGAGCGACTGCCCGGGTTTGGGGATCTGAAGGACTTGCCGTACATCCAGGCCGTAATAGAAGAGGTTTTCCGCTGGCGCCACCCACAACAAGCCGGCATTCCGCACGCCACAACCCACGAGGACTACTACCAGGGCTACCTTATCCCCAAGGGGTCTGTTGTCATCCCGGTATTTTCCGCGATGCGTCACAACGAGGACATGTTTGACAAGCCGGCAGAGTTCCGCCCCGAACGCTGGATGGGCAAGTCGCAATCGCAATTCAACAACTTTGGATACGGTCGCAGAATCTGTCCTGGTCGTCACATCGCGCGCAACTCAGCAAGCATAGTAGTTGCGCGCCTGCTGTGGGCGTTCAATGTCCGTACGCCGAGTGGGAAGAAACTCGTTGTGGAAGAAAGCATGTTCACCACGGGATTTGTATCGGCTCCGAGGCCTTTTGCGTGCATCTTCGAGCCCCGGAGCGAGACTCATGTCCGCGTTATCCAAGAGTCCTTCGACAAGGTAGACAAGAACCTTACGACTCTTCTCAACGAAGCGCATGAGAAGCACAATGCGCGGGGAATCAAGGCTCGCGCGTAGTGCTTACCCATCATCAACCTTGACGCGCTTTGTAGCCATACATCCTATCCACTCCAACTACATGGTCACAGCTCAAGCTGAAGCTGATCGGTTGGCGCATCGCGATGGTGATGTCGTGCAGTAACGCGTACATGGCCGTGCTGCAGGTACTTGCGAAGGGTGGGAAGAACGGAGGCGGATCGAGGATGGGCAGCGGCGGGAGGGACATCGTCGCGAAGGCTGTTTGGGATGCGAGTGAGCGATCGTTCAGGCGTTTTCTTGGTGGTGCTCGGAGCGCAGCGCGTTATAGCGCACATCGAGGCCGGCGATGGATGTGAGGGGTATGTTGAGAAGTGCACGTGGGAAATGGGGTAGGGTTGGTGAATGACATATCGGAGCCCAGCAGGCGAGATGAAGCGCTGGCTTGTACATGTTTAGAGTCGCATTGCGAAGCTTCTTGGAGGAGCGTTGCGCAGGGCGTCCAGGTTGAGAGGGATGTCGGTCGCGTAGTGAGAAGTGACTGAGTGAAGCCCTGTGACGTCACGGCCCGTCTTGCGAGCTTTAGCTGCCACAGGTGCCACATCGTTAGGATAATTGCTTCGACTGAAGATCCGCTTCTGATCGCTCGATGCAGTCAAACAAGAGCGATAGTTCTTTCGTTGCAGAGGCGCCAGCATACCCTGCTACACACGCGTCAGCGCAGCGAAGGTCAGCGACGCGCTAAAACCCTGTCACTACCAGCAATCTATGACTGCAGTACCCGCACGATCAAGACAAATGCAGGAGTTGAGCGAGCAAACTTGTCGGATGGGTGTTTGTAGTAGCCCTCCAAATTATCCCATGGTAGGAGCTACTATGCGTGGCTCTGCCGACTCGGCCTTCCTGGCACCTCTGAAGGGGTGATTCGGCGCCTCGACTGATGGCGCGCACCACGTACATGTTGATGGAATGCGGCATTCCACGGCACGCTTTTCTTGAACAGCTTCTCGTTCATATGCCGAGGCAGTCTGATATATGAACGACATGAAGAAGATTCGAAGACAGAGATTAATCAACTTCGATACTGGTTGCAGAGTACATCAATGGCGTCTGCTACCTACAGGGAAAGAATGCTTGGAATTGCGGGCACCCGACTTGCGCTGATGCCTATACAAGCTTTGAGACGGCGGGATCCTCGCGCTTCGGGAGGACGCCTAGGTGCTTATGTTGAACACCCACGCCGGATTTGCGATGGTCGAGAATGCAACCCCGATCAATCAGCTAGTGAGGTAAGTTCCGAAGGTAAGGTGATTCGTCTTTCAGTTCTAATCTTCACAGCAAATGTCCCGCCGCTTGCGACGCCCTTGTCTAGACGACTGTTCTCCGCGGTTCCGGGCTTTGCAAAGTCCGGATACAGCGGGCGCCAGGTCCATCATGAGAATTTTGCAGCTTTCGGTCGCTCCGCTTCCGGCTGCAATGCGCCGGCTTGGGATGACATCGCGTTACTTGAAGTCTCAATTTGCGCCACGGCCCAAGTCACACGCTAATCACACCAGGAGTGGCTTTACGCCAGCATATGCACCGGCGCCGTGGCTGTGCGGTGCCGAAGGTCGTATAATGAAAAGGGCGCACTACCTCTCAGGCCGCGCGTACCAATAGTACCGACAAACGATTGGGTTGGTGCACTGAAGTCCGTTTCATGCGCATCTAGACACAAAACAGAAAAGGGCTGCCGTGACTCACCGTTTGACCGGTGGTAAACACATCTCGCTGCCAAGATGGCCCTTCCAGGCATATGTACAAGAGACGGTCGGTGAGTAAACAGATCAAGCCACACAACGACTTTTCGACTACAAACGATGCCACTCCAATTCTGGAGATCGCCTGGACAAGGCTCAAAAGACACCGATCCACTGCTCGAGGCAGCATGTCCTCCACAAATCGACGACGATTACCTGAAAACCGACGAAGACGATAGCGACGACGATAGTGATGAGGACGAGGATGTGAAAGAGGCTCGTGCTCAGAGTTGCTATCAGTCAATCAGTCAGTTGTCAGTTCATCTTTGCGGTTCAAACTGTCAGTCTGGAGGTAGTGAACTGACCTGATTGACTGCCAAGACATTTTTTAGAATCGCGAACTGAGACTG